CCCATCAGAAGCCAGCTGGGAAAATTGCAAAGGGACACTGCAATCCTCATCAATGCATGCTGCTTGCCAAACACCTGCATTTTGATCACATGGTGGGATGCTCATAAGTGTGAGGACTGTTTATAAGTCACTGTTTTTCACTAATTTCAAATGGTTGCAAAATGAATGATTGTAAATCAACAACGACCTGTGTTTAAAATAGGCCTACGATAGGGGTGTCAAACTCACGGTCCACAGGCCGGGTATGTCACATGCTGGCCCCGCCCCTGCCCCATTTAGCGAAGGGGGGAGGAAGTCACGATTCGTCATGTGACATCGCCGTGACAACGTGAGTTTGACACCCCTGGCCTACAATATCTGACCGTAAAAATTCAGAAGATAGCTAGAGGGCATCAGAGGTAATTTTTCTCTCTCTCTTTGCTGCCCACTAGCAGTTGTCTAGACATTTGCAATCCAGATATATAGGTGCATTTTTTAAAAGGGGTTTGAATTGCTGCAAATCTTAGAAAACCCCTGGGTATTGTAAACCCTTTCTAGTCTGTTTATATGGTACTGTGGATATATCAAAATCTCTGATCATATTGGAAAGTGGGGAATAAAGCGGACAGACATAGAAGAGACATCTCCACATTACTATAGTCTTCCATTACATAGCAATTGTTTGTGTATACAAGTTTTGGATTATCCTTCCCTCTTGTAATAGGCTAGGCTGCCTATTAAAACTTCTCTACATACTTTTCATAACAGCAACACCAAAAAAAGTGCTTCTTCTTTATCTTCTTTGGCTATCCATTATTTCTTTTTTTTAAAAAAAATGTTTTTTTACCTCAGCAGTATTTGCTATTTTCTCATGAGTCCGAAGAATACTAATGGAAACGGCAAGTCTTTTCTTCCATTTTTTCAGCCTCTATTACTATAAAAGGCTCTGAACAATTTGATGAGGCACTCATAAAAGGCATGATGAATCCTAGCATCATTTAAACATCAACAATTTCTTACAATGTTTTATGTTCCTGAGCACATAATCCATAAGAAATGTCCTCACTGCCAAAGACATTGAAATGCACAAAAGATCACTGTGTTCTCTTTCTAACTGTCATAGGACTGAACACACTAGGGTGCCCCGGCACAGCACTTTTTCTCTTAAGTGCCTGAGATTTAAAATCTAGCGCCAGTTTGAAGTTGTGACATTTTCTATGCTACCCTAAGAGGGCATTCGTTGTACTGGTTTGTGGAATTCCCAGTTCATTTGTGGTAGGATTGAAATTATAATTTTCAGCACCAAGTAAAACAATATCTGCTCGTGTAAACTTTCAGCTTAAATTTGGGGTGCTTTCCTTTCTGTTTTGTTTTGCCATTAATGTTCTGCATCGTGGAACTTTATGATTTAAACATAGAGATGTTTTACTGTGAAATTATGAAAACATACATATCTTCTTTAAAAATGTAAAATTTATTTTAGTCTATTTGCAGCAATTTTAAATCAGTTGTAGACTTATTTTGAAATTATTTCTAACAATGAAAATATCAGACAAAATATTACTTAAAATAGATACCACAGTAAGATGGGCATGCAACCTTTTTCACACCATGGCTGAAAGATTTACTTTCAGATAACCTGCTACAGGTTGTCCTGTGTGAAGTGGGCAGGGCCATGGCAAAATAGAATAGAATAACAGAGTTGGAAGGGATTTTGGAGGTCTTCTAGTCCAACCCCCTGGTCTGGCAGGTAACCCTATACCATTTTACACAAATGATTGTCCAATCACTTCTTACAAACTTCCAATATTGGAAAATTCACAACTTCTGGAGGCAAGTTGTTTCACTGGTTAATTGTTCTAACTGTCAGGAAATTTCTTCTTGGTTCTAGATTGCTTCTCTCCTTGATTCGTTTCCATCCACTGCTTCTTGTCCCGCCCTCAGGTGCTCTGGACAATAGCTGGATTCCCTCTTCTTTGTGGCAACCCCTGAGATATTGGAACACTGCTATCATGTCACTCTAGTCCTTCTTTTCATTAAACTAAACTAAATTAAATAAACTATATTAACTAAATTTAATGTATTAAACTAAATTAAATATTTATTAAACTAAATTAAATAACTGCATTTAATTTAAGAGAGTTGCATGGCAATTTTTTTATGTTTAATAACTTTCCCTTGATATCACATTAAACATTATTTCAACAGAGGAAGACGTAGGATGCACTCTGGGAGCTATACTCAGTACTTCCAAGAGTCACAGTGTATACTCCAAAATCTCAAAATATTCCAGGAATGACATTTAGAAAGCATAATAACATGGATGTTTCTAACACTCTGCTGAAATCTAACTTCCAATTTCTTTTTAAACATTTCTTCTGCAAAAGAGGTTTCATTCTTAAAATACTTTAATCCTTCTCTATTTCTATCATGTTTTGCATCTTCTCTGATTATGTTAATCTCTAGAGAGCCATGGGAAGATTGACATCCTTCCCTGGAAAGAAAATAATCCCTCTCCTCCACTACCAGAATTTTATCATGTTTTCTTCTCTTTGACAAAGCCATTTCTTCCCTATCGCAACGACTGAATCTTAAGGGAGAAAATTATAAAAGAAACCTTTCACATAGCTCCAAAACTCTCCTTAGTGAAAACCAGTGCATCCTAGAAGAACGCCCACTTCAGGAATTTTGTTCATTATTTATTTGGTTGGTTGGTTGGTTGGCTGGCTGGCTGGCTGACTAGCTGAACTTACTGGTTTTTGAAGCTAAGCAGAATTTGATCTGGTTAATATCTGAATAGGAGACACTCAGAGAATTCCAAGCCTGTAAGCTAAAATGGAAAGTAAACCCTAAGCTCAAAATCATCATCATCATCATCATCATCATCATCATCATCATCATCATACTGGAATATGGCAAAGATAATCCACTTTCATGAAAACTGCCTAATTTCCTTGTAGTTGCCAAGAGCCAAGTTCAGTCTTCTGTTTTCTCTTATCAAAGCATGTTGCCCTGTGTTGTGGTTAGCCAGCAGCAGGTGCGGATGGCTGAGGAGAGCGAGGACTCAGATGAGGGGCCAGGACCATTAGGGAGGAGTGGACCTTCAGAGATTGTGGGGGCTGGCAGCAGCAATAAGGAGGTTCCCGAGGAGCCTGTGCCAAGTGCGTGTGAGCACAGGGCTGCTCTCAGGAAAGAGCAGCTGCAGCAGCACAGGTGACTCGGGAGTAAGACTGTAAGGTAATGGCCCCTCCTTCAAGAAGATAAAAGCCAGCTGTGAATCGGTTCTTTGCAGAAAACAAAGATGTTTTGAAACTCGAGCCTTGTGGACATTGTAGTATCTTAATTGGTATTTGAAGACTCTTATGTTGTAAAATAATTCTATTATCTCTTGTTTTTGGCAGCCTCGTACAGTTCTGTGAGGCTCAGGCTTATCAAAGTTAAGTAGTTTGCAGCAGCCTTTTAACCTGGGATTCATAAGAAGCATTAAAAGGTTTCTATTCCCTTTGATTCGTGTTTGTTTTAGTAGACAAGGTTTTGGGTCAGAACACCCGGGTATTTCTTTGCACCTAATGCAGAGTGAGCTGCACACCTATCAGGCACAATGCTGTGAAATATGGTGTTAATTTTGGAACTTTGCTATCATATATAATGTGTAATCCTGGTGTTTGATCAGGTTTATTTATCCTACATTAAAACAAAATGTGTTTGATAGTAAATCAAACTAAATCGGCTGGGAAAAAGAAAAATAAGACTATGAGTCACCAACACAACCAAGTATATGATGTTTAGATAACAATAGAGCCTTTGAAAGGTTACACTAAAGACAAAACAGTCTAACTTTTAGAAAACAATGCTTTTCCTTCATCATTGAATAGTGTAAGAATATGGTCTGTTCATGCTATTTCTTTCTGTTTCCTTTCCTTCAATCCCAGTTGGTGACAATATGACAACATGACAAATTATACTACAGCTGAGGAAAGATATGAATCTCATTTTGGCAATCATCAAAACATAAGCATTACTTGATCGTACCCTTGGCCCATCTAGTCCAGCTGTCTGTTTTCACAGTGGCCAACTAACTGCACAAGGAAGCCCAGATGGCTTTCAGATCAAGTCCCGTATTCCATCTTCTATATTCCATCTCAATAAGAATCTCATACTTTCTCCATTACACAGAACACAAAGATGCTGTTGTGACAACAGAATATTTGATTCCAAAAAAGCTTTAATATTTAACAGTCCACTTAAGTAGCAAATTTAACACACAACAGTCCAAGAAGAATGTATCTGTTATCAACGGACAATTAGAACTGCTGAAAAAAACAATTGCTACCAACCTGCCTTCCATTGAGGACCTGTATACTGCACAAGTCGAAAAGTGGGTTGTGAAAATATCTACAGACCCTTCACATCCTGGACATAAATTGTTTTAACTTCTGCCTTCAAAACAACGCTAAAGGGCACTGCACACCAGATCAACTAGACACAAAGAAAATTCTCCCCCAAATATCATCATTCTGCTAAACAACTAATTCCCACAATACTGTCAAATTATTTACCTGTTATTAGCATTCTTCTCATCCTTCCCTAGTACCTATCTCTTCCCACTTATGACTATAACCATGCTGCTTGTATCTTTACAATTTACATTGTTTTATTTGTTTCCTAGTATGGTTTTATTGCTTATTAGTAACCTATGACTATCACTAAATGTTGTATCTTATGATTCTTGATGAATGTATTTTATTTTTTCTTGATGTACATTGAGAGCATATGCACCAAAGACAAATACCTTGTGTGTCCTTGTGTGTCCAATCACATTGGGCCAATAAAGAATTCTATTCTAAAGAATTCTATTCTATTCATATACTGTCATGTGTTTTCCAGATCACTATTGCTGAGAATGTATTTCAATTTCAAATTTCTGAGGGCCTTTAGACAGCATGTAAACTTTGTCATTGAGACCTGTTCAAGCTTTTCCATTCCTTCCTGTTTTTTCTTTTCTCTTTTACAAAAAACAGTTCTGCTGCATCTCTCTTTGTCATTCAACGTTGATGTGAAAGATACAATGACTTTTAGTGGTCCTGTGGAAGATATGTTTGGATACAGTGTGCAGCAATTTGAAAATGAAGAGGGAAAATGGTGAGATTATTAATTAGTTAATTATCTCTCCCTTCCACCCATTCCCATATCTTTATAACAGGAGTGTCAAACTTGCAGTGTCATGTTGTCATCATGTGACATTGTGACTTTCCCCCCGTTCACTAAACCAGGGGTGAGGGTGGCCAGTGCTGTCACATCTGGCCCACGGCCCATGAGTTTAACACCCCTGCTCTATAACTTAATGATTTAAAATTTCACAGGTCATAATGAACACTTTGTGGTGTTTTTAAACAAAGAATAACTAATTAGAGAAGCTGCTCTAACTCCTATCTGCTATTATAAACACATTTTTATTCCATTAGTTTTTTTGCATACAACTTAAATAGTAAATTGGTACTAAAGTACCAAAGCAAATATTACTGTATGTACTGCATTGACTATATATATGTATATATATTATCATTCTGCAGGGTTCTTATTGGTTCCCCTTTGTCTGGTCAGCCCCAAAAGAAGACAGGTGATGTCTATAAATGCCCTGTAGGACAGGGTAATGGTTTGCCATGTGTAAAATTAAATCTGCCAGGTAAGAAAGTCAATGAAAGAAATTGAAAATTGACCTACTCTAACAAGATCAAGTTAGAAGCCAAAACATGTTTAAGTAAAAGACCAGAGATAACAAACATCATAATCAAAGGACACTCACTAAACAGGCTATGTGATAAAAAGAAATTAAAGTTCTCTCTGCAAAGAGGAGGATGATGCTATAAGACAGTATTTTATATATATGGTACACAAATAGTTGTCAATTTACAACCACAATTGGAACTGTATTTCTGATCATAAGTTGAGGCAAACACACGACAGAACCTATTTTACAAGATTTCCATGACTATTGTTAAGCAAGTCTGCAGTCATAACTCCAAATTCATTCTGCCAGCAAAAAATGCCAAAAACAGACAAAAAAATCATAGCAAATCATGATCACGTGGCTGCAGGAAGCTGCTACCAGTTGTAGCCAATTGTCAAGCACTCAAAATGTAATTGCGTGTCTAGGGTGTGTATAGCGTGACATCTTAAAATGGCCAGAAGTGTTTTACAGGCCATGAACACTTGTTCAGGGCAGGTTGTAATTTCAGACACTCATTAAGTGCCTGGTCATAAGTCAAAGACTATCTGTAAATTTCAATATTCTCTTTCCACTCATTTCCCCTTTTTATATGGGTGTGCAATGGGTCTTTTAGCTATATTTGCTACATCTCAGAATCTTTTATGAAAGGCCCAGAAACTTCCTCCAATGTCAATTATATAGTTTTTACTAACAGAGGAACTAGTGTGAATTCTATTACACTGGCATTCCCATAACCTTTATTGCCCAGTGAAATCTTATGAATACAACTGATAATTTACTGATCCAACAGTGGAGCTATACAGAAAATGAAAAGTTTATTTATTCCTGATTTTCAATTTTAAATGGATGCATATCTTCTACTGTCACCCTGTTGCTATTTTGACATTCTCTTTGAGGTTCAGGAAAACTATGTGAAGCATTATCCCAGACAAAGATTCTGGGATGAAAGCCAGGCATTTGACTTGTATTTCATAGCTTTAACCAAGAGGGAACAGGAAAAAAAAAGGAAAAAAAGCCCAAAAGATCCATGTTTTACATACAAATTTGGTGTTTTGAACAGGCCACAATACGATTTAATGTCTTGTTTGCATGTATCCCCATATTTAACTTTATTTTTAATCTATCTATAGCTGACACTTCAATTCCTCAAGTAACAGAAGTAAAGGAGAATATGACTCTTGGGTCAACCTTAGTGACGAATCCCAAAGGAGGGTTTTTGGTGAGTAAATATCTCTTGAGGAAAATAAAAAACAATATGCATATTTACTATAACCACATATAGAATGTTTTCCCCATTTATAGAAGGAATATAGGACTTGCCCAGATATTGTTGGATTAAAGTTCCTATCACTCTTGAATATTAAACATGTTGATTTGGTCTGATAAGATTGGAATCTAACTACTTTTGGGAAATTATACACAATAATGGAAAGCTATTTTCTATCCATATAAAGAAGGCAAAATCACAAAACTGCGTCTCACTTATTTTGACCATGTCATGCAGGGGAATTCACTGGAGAAAGCAATTATGTTTAGAAGTTAGCAGTAAAAAGAACCCAGACCACACAAAGAACAAGATGGCCGGATACCAATGCAGGGATGTCAAACTCAAGACCTGCAGGCTGGATCTGGCCCACGGGGTGCTTAAAACTGGCCCACAGGGCCGGCCTAGAAATAGCAAAGGACTGGCCCATGGTGCCTCTGGCAGCCCAAATGGGGCACAGGGGGACTGTGTGTGCCCCCACTTCCCCTTTTCAGCCTGGACAGCCTCCTGCAGCACAGGGGTATGGGCGTACAGTCCCCTGTGCCCCGTTTTGGCTGCAGAGCACTGCAGGAGCCTGTCCAGGCCAAAAATGTTTTTCTAATAGCAATTATAAGGTGCTAAGAAACGCTTGTCAGTGCTGAGATTTTTGGAAATATCATTAAGTCATTTGATGTGTGTGAATTCAGCAATCTTTCCCTTAGTTCTGCTGATAAAGGTACTTTTTTTTTGAAAATGCCTCCTTTGAGATCTGTAATGGAGTTTTCACAGGACTTAAATGCTCTTATGTTAGTTTTGCTCTGAAGCCACATTCACTTAACAACCTTGTGACTAACTTAACCCGTGCAGTGATTCACTTAACAACTATGGCAAGAAAGTTCGTAAAAAGGGGGAAAACCCACTTAACAAATGTTTCACTTAACAACAGAAATTTTGGGCTCGGTTGTGGTCATAGGTCAAAGAGTTACCTGTATTGGAATGATCTAGGAACATGGGACATATGCCTGTTTATTTTATAAACAACTTGAGTATTTATCAGATATACATTTATCAGATATATTCAGAGCAATAATTTTGTTACTATGGTAGAAAATAAATGCAGCTCAGGGTTGAATTGTTGGGTTCCTGGTATTCTCTAAACTTCCTTGTTTAATATCCAAATATAAGAAGTTTGTACTGCACAGAATTCCAAAATTGGATCAGATCTTTTTGGTCAGTTCTGTTGTGGCTGTGCCGTCATACTGCTGTTGCAATGTTTTATAGTTTTCACTTAGGATTTCAGTAAGCACATTTCTAACCATTGTGGATATCAAAGTAGCTACTATACAATATGGTGAATTATTTAAACATTAAGAAAATGATTATTTTTCTCTTTATTATAGGCATGTGGACCTCTTTATGCTTATAAATGTGGACATTCTTATTATACAACAGGCATTTGTTCCAATGTTAGCTCCAATTTTGAGGTTGTAAATTCCATTGCTCCACTGCGAGGTATGTATATATAAAAATGTTTTTGTATCTGTTGAACGTAGGTAGAACTTGAAAAAAATCTAATATATACCCAGAGTTATGTTAGAAATATAAACTAATTTTCAAGGTATGACCAAGTTAGGTAAATGTTATCTTTGTTTGTATATTACCTAAATGCTTACTGCTCCTGGAATTTATTTTTAGTATAAACAGGTTCATAGTATTAGTCATAAGTGAAAATCAGTCTAAAATAATCTTCAGGCCACCACACAAAGCTAAATGCCTGTTAAATTCAAGAAGACAAAATAATTGTCCTTATATTGGTTTTTGTGAGACACAAGACTCCATTCTTTCTGCTGATTCCTAGAAGCAGAAATGAAATGGTTGAATGGTATCAAAAAATTAGTTTCAAAAATACTTTTCGATGCCCTTCTTGGAGGATATGATTGCTACCCTATCATCTTCCTTCTTCTTCCTTTCTTTAAGTTGCTCCTTAGTTGAGGGCAATTACAATAAACGCCTCTTCCCTTTACTTTTAGTCTTCTTTTCTATTCAAGGCCACTGCAGTTGTTTCTTTTTTATATAGACAAGTGATACTATGCAACCACCCCTACGCATGTAGTAATATAACTTCAGAGCCAGAAAACTATTCATGTAATTAGACTTCAAGAGTCCTAAATATTGGAGGTATCTGTGATTTCTTCAAGGCAATCAATATAATGTGTGACAAGTTGTATGAAAAGCTTTTCTGGAATTATGCATTCTGAAATAGTTAAAATGGCAAAACAGACACCAAAGAAACCTTTGAAATACAATGTATTTTAAGTAGAATGTTTGTATTGCAATCTTGATAAAACTATATATATATTAAAATCACATTTAAATATAGTTATGAATAATTTTAAAAAAAATTGAAAGCACTCTGTATTCTTGAGATATTTCTTAATCTCCACGTAGTTTGGCAAAGGCCCAGTATACATGAAATATCCATTAACTAAACCATACTCTCTTCTGTCCACAAAACTACTCAATGCCATGTCAGATCACCACTGCAGAACATCTCAAGATGCTAGAAGCTTTTTTATCTGAAACCTTCTAGACTAGATCAATAGTTTCATCTCCTGCAATGATGAGTTAGCACCATCTAGTTCTAACAAGCTCTAGAACCATAGAACCAGTATACCAGAGCAAGCAATGAGTCCAACATTTGCTCCAGAGGCAAAATAAGCTGAGTTCCAGGCAGGGCAGAGAAAGAATAACTGGTCCAAAATAGCCCAGTGAATTCTGTGATACCATAGAACAGGGATGTCAAACTCATGTCGTCACAGCACCATCATGTGACATATCAGGACTTTTTTCCCCTTCACTAAACTGGTTGTGGACATGGCCAGCGTGTGATGCATCCGGCCCACAGGCCGGGAGTTTAACAGCCCTGCCATAGAAGATGACCCTCCATTTCCCTTCACTAGGTAGAACATCATTATGCACATTATCCAGAGGCACTGATTCAAATTATAGCAACTCAAAAACTTCATCCTTCAACTTCTGCTTGGATGTGTTTCATTGTATAGGTCTCTAATGTATAAATGACACTAGAAAAATAGGTAATAGTGCAATGGAAGTTAGAAACTCATAGCACTTCATCTTTCATCTTACATATAAATTGTATCTGAGATATTTCATATCTCTTATGGTTTACTTAAAAGTAATTTATTTTGAAATTAAAGCAGGGTGTCAATTTAACAGAAAAACCACTATGTGCTTTGAACATTTCCTTATTTTATGTTTCCTTTTGCAGAATGCAAGTCCCAGCTGGATATTGTTTTCGTTCTTGATGGATCTAACAGTATTTTTGAATGGAAAGATGTCACCAATTTTTTGAAAAGAATACTGCAAAATATGAGTATAGGCCCCCACGATACACAGGTACACTAAGGCAAATGTTTTATATTTCATTTTATTTTATTTGATCTATAGCATAGCTATACAATCAAGGATATCTGCAATAATATAAATTTTTCTAATTTATCAATCTAGGCAGTGGTTCTCTAATAGACAAGAAGTCTATTATAGTTTCTTACATATGTCAGTTAATGCATAAATATCAAATGGAACAGTTAAGGACCCCATATCACCTGGAAAGAACTGTATTACTAATAATCAACTTTCAGAGTCAGATGTTCATCTCAGTCATCAACAGAAACTTTTCATAATCTCTTCACATGTTATGCAAAGCTAAGAAACATTTATAGTTCCAATGAAAAAGGCCCGAATCCTATCACAAATGAACAAAATCCCTCTTTGGGGGAGATGGGCAGTTTAGAAAAAATGCATATTTGCATAAAACACAGACATGGCAATGAAAGAACCATCTGTTAAATGCTATGTCCTTGGGGAAAATCATACTGGTTCTGCGTTAGTGTACAGAGAAACTCCTCCTTACACTTATTTCATTGTTTTATATGTGGCCAGGTCAAAACTATAAAATGTTGAAATCATATTTGAAGTAATATATGCCATTACCTCAGTAGTGGGATTCAAATATTTTTGCCACCGGTTTGATGGGCATGGCTTAGTGGGTGTGCTTTGCGTGTATGAACACACTTTGCGTGCATGCGCTCACCAAACACACACTTTGCACAGGCACAGAGGTGTTCTAACTCTCCTCCTGCAAGCCTGCATGATCCCAGTTGCTTCAGCAGCTGCCACGCAACACTGTTCTGTGCTGCGTAAAGTAGCTGCACTTCAAATTCAGCAGATAAAAATGAGTATGGGAGCCTGGGCGGGTGGATGAGCCGAATAGCAAAGCGGCAGAGAGAAACGGTTCAGTCTCCGCTGCTCATCACTGTACCGGCTCGCCAGAACCGGGACGAACCAGTCGAATACCACCACTACATTACCTTCCTCCATAATTTTTTCCCCCTACTGCCCAAATGCAGCTTCCAGACCTGCCATTTCCCAAAAGTTTTCTTTCAAAGTATGTATCAGAAGTAACTCTGCTAAGCATCCAAGATTCTTCCAGGTGCTTCTTCCAGAAATTCTTCCAGATGCTGCCACCTGCTGAGACATTTTAATAGTTTCAAGAGTCTTTTCAAATTCCCAGTCCATAGGCTGATAGGCCCATAGTTTTGCTGTGTGGATGCTCTTTGTAGGCTTCCTATTCTTCTATTGTACGGACAGCTGCGCTTTGTAGTAGAAAAGTGGATAGAGAGACAATGGCACAACGATAATGTAGTTCTGCCTGTGGTTGCATGCGGTAGGAGTTGGGTGATTAAGAAGTATGTATGGTAAAAGCAGAAGAGATAAGATCAAGAATGAGTGGGTGATCAAAAGTATATCATCCTTTTGGATAAAATAAGTCTGTTGCCGTAACTTGATCATAAATACAGAGTGAATTAGGGCTAAGACATAAAATAACTATATGAGCTGAGAGGAAGACTGAGAAAGTTGCAGATGCCTATGAGATCTTAGCAACAGAGAGGTGAGAAGTTCAAAGAGCAAAAAAAAATGTATGAATCAGCATGGGGATGTACTAAAAGCAAAGATGGTTTGCAAGGATAGAAAAATATAGTGAATTGGGGAGTTGTAAACTAGACATAGTTATATTTCCTTTTGTTTTCTCCTGTCTCATAGCTTTGTTTCTTTGTATGTAGGTATTTTTACATAATATTGCTTACCTTGAAAGAAATAGCATGATGGGAATATAGGGTATGTGTATATGGGAGATAGGACATAGAGAAAGAAAATGTGGTTGAAGAACAATTGAAAGACTATACGGAAATATTTTCAAGTTAGGATTTGTATAGAATGACAAAAAACATTTGTATGGTTATCCAGAATTGTGTCTTAAGATGTCCAGCCATAGAAAACTTTTAAGTAAGTAAGTAACATAAATCAATTTATATAGAGAGAATGCATGTAGGAACTGACTCCACTTAAAAATGATATATGAGAGAATAAACTATTTGTAGAAAAGTATCAGAGATGAACTGACTGAACTATTGAAAGCTTTCTGAAAAGAAACATTTAAAGTATGAACAGCTGTACATCAACAAATGTGAAACAACACCATGGGACATAGATTGAAAAATTGGTGTATCTCCACATACTTTCAAAATATTACACTCATTTCTTACATAAACAAAGGTTTGCTTAAGATCTTACAATGAAGAATGAAGCCATATATGGTCAGAAAAATGTCAAATGAGCAGAAAAGTTTTCAGAAAAGGCAGAGGAATATGTATGATGAGATAACTAACACAAAATTGTATTGGAGAGAACATTTAAGGTTTTTAAGAGAGCAGGTCATGTTAGAACTACTGATGATTGTTTTGAAGAATTTTTTACAATGAACAAAGTAAGGGCAGAATTAGGAGAAACAGAATAAACAGACAAGGATACACATTGTCCCCGTATCTGTTTAGCTTTTACATTGAATGTATTCAAGAATGCCACTTTCAGAATATATAACAGCTGCAATCAAAATTGGAGGTCAAATCAGGAACAGTTTAAAATATGAAGACCACACCATTCTGTTAGACAAAGGTAAAAAGCCTTAGGAAAACTACAAATAGAAAGTTTAAAAAATGGTTTAACCTCAAACATTAAGAAGAGAAAGATAAAATGAACCAGCAAGCTTTGTGAATTCACAGTTGAGTTGAAGTATGGGTGAAGTTTTGTCATTTTAGGATCCAGAATAGATAAAAGTAGACAATGTACTGGAGAAGTAAAAAGGGGAGGTTGATCCTTGAAGGAAGGTAATTGCGTATATAGATGACATCATGAAGACCAAGATTATTTCTGTGATAATAATGATTGGAATATTTAAAGCAATCATTTCCCTTGTGATAATGTATGGCTGTTAATGTTGGATATTGAGCAAGAGGAAGAGGCAGGAACACCCAAAGCAGTTTTTTAGCTTTAATAATAGTATGTGCAAATAGTATGTGCACTTTTTTATGTGCTTGCAAAGCATGTGAGACATGTTTAAAAGAGGTGGGGCTTGATCACCTGGTCACATCCATCATTTGGTAGCCAATGATTATTTATGGATACTCTGAGAAATTAAATCTTCAAATTACCGAGTTGGAGAGGTTATTGGTAAGAATACCATGAATTGCAAGAGCAGACAATCAATCAATCAATCAATCAATCAATACAATGTATAGCATGAGTGGACATGATCATGGAAATGATATACCACATATCACAGTCACAGTTCTTGAATGGCATGCACTTAGACAAGCATGAAGTGCATTAAATAAATGCATTTTATTGGAATGTCCATGGAAGAAATGTAGACTGTCATCAGGGATTGGATTGCCATGCTATCCATTTTTGTAGTTGTAGGTTCAAAAACAGGAAAGCCATAACTTTGTTACAACTTTCTATCATTCCCTCTGATAGAACTTTAGAATTTTCAAGAACTGACATGATCTTAGTTCTTTCTGTGTAAGTATGGGTGTGCTTGTCCTTGTTTCCAGATCAACAGCTAGGAATAGGAACCCTACTTTGGGATGCCATCACTATAAAGCATATGTCCCTACAACCTCCTGTCAGCACAAACATTTCAAGAGGAACATTATATGTTGTACAAGCATGGGAGAAATCTATACAATTTACTAGGAACACAATCTTGTCAAATAGAAGATCAGTAGAATCAGATATACTAAATTGTATCTAGTAAGTTTAAGAACTGAAAAGAAGAATGTTGCTGGAACAGACCCGAAGTCCATCCCAATTTCCATAATAATCAACTAGCACCAATTGCAGGAAATCGATAGACAAGGGAAAAGCAAATATATCATCAGAAATTTGAAGAACATTCCTTTTTTTGCTCATTTTTATAAATTCTTTAGCTTTTACTCATTACTGAAACTTTGTAAGTCATTTCTATATAATGTTTATAAGTGGTTTACAAAGTATCAAAAAATGAACAACCAAGATATAGTAAAATACACACTGGACTGGTAGAAAATAGACTGATAGAATTTCACTAATATTCACATCCCTTATTACACGGAATAACCTCCTTCCCAACTTAGGAGAAATATTTTAATAGTTTACATATAAGCATCTCAGTCTCCAAAAGTTTTGTAGAAAGGTCTGGTCTTAATCAGTTTCCTAACTCTTAATGACCCTTACATTCTTCAGTTTAATTGCATCAAAGACAGCCAGTAAACAAAGATGTTTGTACTAAAAGGAATGAGCTATAAAACAGATTGAGAAGCACATCTGAAAACTGAAAGATAGAATGATCCAGCTATAAAAGGCTATGACTAGATAGATTGTATTAATGTTCAGTCTTTTAATAGTATGAAAGTTTTAATAATGGATGAATAAGAGGTAAATATGCCAAGTCAGAGTATATTAGCACTCAATGGCTGGACTAAGCAGCATATTCAAAATATCAATGCAGAGCATACATTTAAAATATACTACTGGAACATTGCTTAACTCACATTTAGACCAGAACCTCTCATAAAATTAAGCAGATGAAAATGAAGAAATGGTATTTGGAAAAGACACTATTATTTTGTTACTTATCATCTTTCTTTTATAATGTAAATTGATTAACAATTATAAGAATCCACCTGTTGGCTGTTGCCCCCCAAAAGCAGTGATGCCTATAGACAGGGGGTACTCAAAAATCAATCTGACTATACAGTATTATTACTACAAAGTGGTAGAACAGCTTAATTATAACAGAAAAGATATTCAGGACCTGTTATGCAACAGATCATGTGCAAGTTGCAGATCAAGCTGAAGTAAACTAAACAGCCAACACATTTCTACAATATAATTTTGATTATTTTGATTTCCATCATTTTCAAGGAGAACATTAGGAATCACTTTAAAGTTCTGAACTTCATTGATGGAAAATCAGAGGAACCATAGAATGAAATCAAACACATTGTTAAAGTTGAGTGTGGAAAGAGACTGTCAAAACTAAGAAATAGAAGAAAGCACTGTGTCATTAATATGGAAGGCAATAGGAATTGAAGGACATTTGCAGAGGAAGAATCAGCTGGAGGTCCAACCAAGCTATGCAGCAAATCTGTAAAATAGCCAATATATTGAAGGTATCTACCTATTGATATCAAAGAAAGAAGATTTAACAGAGTATGCAGCCTATTGTAGTTTCACTCATTAACAAAATAATTGTCCAATGCAGATTAAAGTCCTACATAGAAATGGTAGATGTTTCGGCTGCTTTAGAAAAGACTGAGCAACCTATATTAAATAATTTGAGAAAGCCATCAACATGTGATTCACTGATTTTGGAAAGACCTTCAATTGAATCGATTGATTTTAGCTGTGAAATATTCTGAAGAAAATGGGAATCCGAGAAGATGTTAAAGGTTTATAAGTTTCATGTTCTCAGAATCCTGTACAAAGACAATAAGATACAGGTAAGATGGAACATGGTGAAACAGGCTAACTCCAAGTCTGCAAAGGAGTGAGAAGAAGGCTGTATGTGATCTATTTAGATGCTTCAGGTGGCAAGAAGAGTCACGTCTGTGTAATTGAACTCTGTCCAACAGCCTAACACTTATTCTTAGTAAACACATTTCTGGTTTACCATACAAAAGAAAAACAGTGCAGGTGATCTTCTATCTTTAATGGAAAGGTAAATTCTTCACTTGCTGTCTTGTGAGTGATGGCATCATTGTGAAAATTTCATGACCATAAGATTTTGTATTCCAGGTTGGGATTGTTCAATATGGAGAAAATGTAACCCATGAATTTTATCTCAATGCATATTCAACCACAGAAGAAGTGCTTGTAGCAGCAAGCAAAATTAAACAGAGAGAAGGATTTGAGACCATGACAGCTCTTGGCATTGAAACAGCAAGGTAGGTGCCTACAGCCTCCTAAACAAGTATCAGCCTACATTAAGGACTATGCTGGTCTTCCACTATGCCGTTTTTTATTTTTCCTACTGATTTTGATACTTACGTTTTGTCCTTGTCTCTAGCCTGAAGATTTACAGGTTTTCATTCTCGTTTTAGGAATGAAGCATTTACAGAAGCTCATGGGGCCCGCCCAGGAGTACAAAAAGTCATGGTAGTTGTGACTGATGGAGAATCTCATGACAATTACAGATTACAAAAAGTGATTGAGGATTGTGAAAAAGACAATATACAGAGATTTTCTATTGCTGTAAGTTATGTTTAATTCAAAAAAAACCTATACTTTATATCTAGAAATGATTCTTCCCCTTTCCTTCAATTTGCCTTGAAGAAAGAATTTGTTTGATAAGTTAGTACTCTTCCAATATTAGCTACAAGCTTTTTTTTATTCATTACTCATTGGGTCTATATTTTTCTTTAAAGTACATGTTGACTCTAGTAATGGGGTAATAGTAATAGTAATGGTGTGTTCTTCCATTTCTCTTTGACTGCTGAGGATAAACAATGGAAAATTGTTGCCGCAAGATCACCCAGGTCATTGTTTCACACAATTAATTTTTAATTAGATGTATATCCCACTTTTTCTATACAATAGTAGCTCAAGGTGTGTGGGTGTGGGTGTGTGTGTGTGTGTGTGTATCTTGAATATAGTGTGGACATTCTCCTACTTTCTTCTCTGAGAAGTTGGGCTAAGAGAAAGCAACTGGCCCAAAGTCATACTATGTATTTCTGTGGGTCAGGGTAGATTAGAATCTGAGTCTTCCCAGTCCAAAAACTTAATACTTGCTCATAAAAATAATACTTTTAGATTACTATGTTATAGCTACATATAATTGAGTCAATGTGTTTTTGTGGAATTGATTTTTCAAATATGGTGATATTCTACCAGACAATAATAATTCCATGTTTAATCTATATAGAACTTTTCATGTATTTTTATGTATTTTTTTCATAATATGGATGATAGTCAACATACATAGACACTTCCAAAATCCACATTACTTATTTTTGAAAATTTTGAGTTTATAATCTTAACACAAAGGTGGCAGATTAGGAAAGGTCATCCTAGATTGTTCTTATGGTGGGAAACTTCTGATTAACACATGCTTGGTCCAGTGGTGGGATTCAAAAATTTTACTACCGGTTCTGTGGGCGTGGCTTGGTGGGTGTGGCAGGGGAAGGATACTGTAAAATCTCCAGTCAGAAGTGGTATTTGCCGGTTCTGCAAGCTATTCAAAATTTCTGCTACCAGTTCTCCAAAACTGGTCAGAACCAGCTGAATACCACCTCTGGCTTGGTCCATATCTGAATGCTGTTTGTCTGGGTTAACCATTACCATTGCATTTATTCTAGAGAGGGAAGTCTATGACAGACTTGTTGTCTGTGTCATTTTATATTTCTTACACTACCAATTGTAAGCTACTAGTAACATGTATATCACTACTTTTTAAAATTGCTTCTTCATTTTTTCCCCCACATGCTACAGATTCTTGGCTCCTATAACAGAGGGAAGCGAAACCCTGAGAAATTGATTGAGGAAATCAAATCCATTGCAAGCAAGCCAACTGAAAAGCATTTCTTTAATGTCTCAAATGAAGTAGCTCTCCTTACAATTGTTGAAGCTCTTGGAGAAAGAATATTTGCCTTGGAAGGTATGTTTTTTTTCCCCCTCTGCTTCTGGTGTTTTGTTGGTTTTATTAATGTATTGGATTTTTTGTTTGTTGTAAGCAAATAATAATTGCTGCATTAGGACCATTTATAGAATAATCCTAGCTCAAAATCCATTGGTTAGAGGAGTTATGATTGGAGTGGAGAAGTACTTTATTACTGGATGTGTTGGGAAGTGTATTTTTGTGTTGGTAATTTTAATTTGCAGCAGCTGTGCACTGTGTGGAATTAGCAAGTTGGCAAAAAAATAAATGATTCTCCTTTTCTCCCAAAATTACAAGCTGAAAGTAAGGTTTTGTAGTGAGTCAATGCTAGTCTTCTAGATCAGGGGTCTCTAACCTTGGCCACTTTAAGACTTGTGGATTTTAACTCCCAGAATTCCCCAGCCAGAAAAGCTAGATGAGGAATTCTGGGAATTAAAGCCCACAAGTCTTAAAGTGGCCAAGGTTGGAGACCCTTGTTCTAGATCACAAATGGATTTTTACCTGGAATGGTCTCTGACAACAGAAACGGTGATGTTATGTGAGAAAGACCTTGAGAGAAGGGTTGAAGTGCTGCTGCCTGGGGAACAGTCAGATAAGAGAGACAACCCTCATTATAGAAAATGTGATGAGATTGCACAGGGAGGGTTTCTACTAACAGGGAGGATTGTTTAATCTTCTGTGTAAATTAATTTGCAGATTCAAGTCTTGAACTAGTTACTTCTTGTACAGTGTATGGCTGAAGCATGGCTATTAAATCCTCTAGAGTCAGTGGTAGAATGCTGCCAGGTTTGGGCAAACCGATAGTTGTGATCACTGTCTGGGTCTGTCTGCCCACCCCTGCGCTATCCTTTTCATATATAATTAACTTTCTAGCTCATTTCCCCTGCCCACACTGCCCAGCTGAGTTCTGTGCCATGCCTGCTGTATTCACCAGAGCTGCCTGAGTAGATTAGCTGCCTCTTTGGAGCTCCGTTTCAGCCCCAAAGCAGTGTATGCGTACACTCACAACCAGTGAAACTGTTGTTAACATAAGTGCAGCCCACCTCTGTCTAGGGTTCACACAAATCTGGGGATTCTAGGAGTTGCAATCCTAATCAGGAAGAGTGCTATGTCTGTTCTGACCCAAGCCTTGTTCAAATCAAACAAACACAAAGTATGTATAAAAGCAATTTTTTTTAATGTAGCTCTGTGAATTCTATGCATTCACAGCCAAGAGTCATTCAAAACTAATTGTCCCAGATAAGTACAAGCCCTTTCAGGGTTGTGAAAGGCTGCCAAGAACAAAAGACCTAATTGCAGATAAATATCCAGAGCCACAACAATGTCCTTTATCTTAAGCTCTGTCCTCATGCCTTCTCATTGAGAATCACCTGCCTTTCTAACCTCTCAGACGGTGGCATATCTGAAACTGGATGATGTCCTTCCGTGCACTGAGTCCATTTTCCTTTCATGCTGCTCTGTGTCACAATTAGGGCCAAACTGCGCCATTTATATCTCAGATTCAAGTAAAAAAACATGTAACATAAATGCCCTCATCATACCAACTCATAGACGAGAATTGATGGACTGTACCTTCCTCTCTCCCTTTTTCTGGAATCAAAACTTTACAAAACTGAACTGATATCTTTTCATCTGATATTCTGAATTTGCTGTCATTTAAATTGTGACATGTTCCATATTAGTCAATTTCCTACATTTGGTTGTTCTTAATCCTTTACAATCCCTAGCCATATCCTGTCCTTCGTTTATAAACTATCTTGGCAGCAAGGAGATTGCTTCCGTTCTTCTCTGCAGTGCTTAATGCACTACTAACACTTTAAAATGTTAGGCAGCAATCCAAGTAATGTGTAAGTGATTATATTCCCCAGCAAGGAAAACATCTGTGTATATTTTCCATTTATACTTATGTCCATCTTTTCTGAATAATTAACTGAAGCTTCTTTAAGAATAACACAACCGTGTGTGCCAGGAAGACAATAAATATAAAACACACTCATTAAAATATATGAATTGCCATTTTATTACTAATATTAGGTTATGAACCTTATTCAAATGGTACGGTTTTTATGAAAACCATGCTTGTACCTAGAGACTTCCAATGTTGTAGTTTATCTCAATTAACAGATATATACAGCATTGCTTCTGTTTTATGCAAAAGTAATCACTCTTTTGTTTGTAAACATGGGCTGCATTCCAAGGAAGTTATATATGCACAAAAGAGAAAGCAACACACGTAGCCCCAGTTTTCCTTGCAATTTCTGTACTGTGTGAAGAGAGAAAAAAAAACATGTTTAAATAAACTGTGGCACAATTTTTAAAGCAGTATGAAATAATTACATGGGACTTTCTATAGACTTTGGAGGGGTTGTACTAGTGTTGCGTGATAATAGATGCCCGTTGAAACAGAGTCAGGAAGGGATATACGAATCCAGTTTAAATTGGGTTTCATGACACCTCTTCCCACGCTACTGCTTTTCCAGACCTGGGGCAGAAGTGATGATGCAGCTAGGAGCAGCCAGGAGAGTGGCTTCCTCTAAGGAGCCACCTGCCAGGGATGATTCCTCAGACATGGAGGTTGGCAGCATATCTGGCTGTTGGATAAAAGATGGCCAAACCCGTGGGTGGAGTGAAAAGAGGGATCACCCTAGAATCTCTATGTAGCCACAAGAGAACTAAGTCCAACCCCTCCCTTGAGCATCATTAACCCTTATCTACTCTAAGCAGATGCTGACCTTTCATTGAAAAGATTTGCCTACATAGGCTTTTGTTAATCAATCAGTTTTATTGAACCTTTACATGTAGACCTGGTCTTTCATGCCTGACACCGGCACGCCTACTGGTTGTAGAGCACTCCACCTGTTCCAAATGTTGCACAATGGTTGCTTGTACATTTGCACTCTGTGTGTCAACTTTTTAATGATGCCGTAGCAATGAGTTGCTAGCTGCTTCAAAGAACTTCCTTCCTGCAGGTCTGTTGCCGTATATTTGCCTATTGACAGAAATCATGCCAGACTAAAGCAACTATTTGCATAACTGTCCCAAAGGTGCTTTTTCAAGAGGCAACTGGACTTTGCTTTTGAAGGAGTTTTGCTTCTCATCCAAAAAGGTTCTTCAGCTCTGACTGGATGGGTGAAAAGAGAAATGTCTTCAAAGAAAAACCAGAAGGTCCAGTTGCCTCTTAAAAAAGCACCTTTGGGACAACCATGACCTGGATGACTGAGAATCTCCATATGTATCTGCATAACTCTTAAATATACTCTGTGAATTACCAAGGAGGTTCCGCCTTTTCCTTTTTCCTGCATACCAAAGATTCCAAGTTTTGCTGTATTTTTGCTCTCTGAGAAACAACCCTTCCTCCTGCTATTCCTCCCAGAGATATAATTATATCATATTTTTACACACACTGCATTTTTCCCATTCCAGTAATTGAATTTAACTGGAATGCTTTGAAAGGAATGTTGAACCAAAGCACGAATCTACTCCTTGAGAATCTTAATTTCTAAAAGAAGCCAGAGGTAGAATTAAAATTATAATGATACAAATGTTTCAAAGTTAATTCAGAGAATTTCAAGGATGGTAAAACTTGTTACATATTGCAACAAGTGAAAAGTTGGGTGTAAATTTGTACTTTTCAGATTAATTAAATGTTTTAACTACTGTAACCAGTGAGCATATGGAAAATTGTGGCCTCAAAACTAGATGTGACCCTAGCCATCTCTATGGTAACTATTAACTCAAGATGCCACACTGACTTCTCCATAAACATATCTAAATATTTAATTCATTAGTCAGCCTGGACATTCTTAACCCTTAATTTAGTCTTTTCTTGTTTCCAATTTTTTTACAGTTTTTTTTAGCATTTTCAACCAACTATGCTAAAACAATAAATATTTCCTGTTTTATAGCTACCAATGATCAACAGGCAGCTTCTTTTGAAATGGAAATGTCTCAAGTTGGCTTCAGTGCCCATTATTCTCAGGTAAAGTGACTAGATTCAATTAGAAGGAAAAGAAACTAGGCATATTATACTTTCTCCACAGAGAGAAATGTTACAATAAGTTTTGCTAATCAATTCAAAAATAATCTTTGTGAACTGCAAGAACTTTTGACTTATTTATTGGAAGTACCTTGTTCTTTCTGATCGGCTGGGTTTTGCTTTTTTGTGGTTGCTGACAAAGATACAGGGGTGGCTTGCCATTTGGTCCATGGATTGTGAAGAGTCAGACATGACTTAGCAACTGAACAACAGCAATGATAAAAACATGTTCCTATGGAATTTATTGGATATCACAGCAACAGGACTATTCAATATGCAGGCCTAAGAAACTGGGGCTGTCAGGATGACTCTTGCTGATTTGAAATCGCAATCAAACTTTGATTCCATATATTAGGATTCATTTGAACAGAATGCATGAAACAGGATAACATCTGAGATGCTAACCTAATCTAGCATAGATGAGATACAACAGGGAGATAATTATTCATCTTAGATTCAGAATTGTGAATTCTCTATCATTGGAGATTTTCAAGGTGAACGATTTGTCCAGAATGGTATAAGATCTATTGCATGAGCAAAGGGTTGAAACCTTTGAAGACCATATTCTATGCTTTATGCTCACTTATCAGATTAAATTAACACAGCAAATCTGTTCAGTGACCTCTCATATTTACCAAAAAAATATTGAGGGATATCTATTTAAAGATGCTGATTATGAAACCACTAAATATCTGGAACAAATACATGCTGGTGTACCAATTTTGAATTTGTATTTTCTTTCTTCTGTTTTGTTATGCTTATACAGCAAAAGCTGACACATGACTGAATTGCTCTACATTGTCCACCCATAAGCTGGTTGCCCAGCATGGTCCCCTTTTTTGGTTTATTCCACAGGATAAATCTCCAAGAATATAGTAACGCAATGATTTCTCTGCTATGTTTGTAAAGGATTGGATCATGCTTGGAGCAGTTGGGGCATATGACTGGAATGGGACTGTTGTCATGCTAAAGGACAGCAATTTTCTAATACCAACTAGTAATGCATTTGATGATAGCTTTTCAGAAAAAAATGAAAGTCTTGCAGCATACTTAGGTGAGCAAAATTGACTGCTGATTGTTGTACTCTTATAATAATGTATGCCAGTCCAGAGTGTTTTAATCAAGGGTGGCTTTCTTTCCCAACCAGATATCAATGGTTGTATTGTACATTAAATCCAGAGAATGGAAGATCTTCTACTAGAAGTCACATTCTTCTTTTTACTTTTATGAATCAAATTAAATTCAGGAAATCATATTTAAAAATTAAATTCAAGATGCCTCCTAAAATTCTGGCCATTTCAGTACAACAGTAATACTGTACTTTGGATATGTTATAGGGCAGTGGTGGCTAACCTTTTTGGGTTCCTGTGCCAAAAATTGTGTGCATGCCAGCACCTAGAAGGCAATGCACGTGCCCCCTCACGCCCCCTATGCATGTGCATGAAATCCCTCCATGTCCCCCTTACCTGCACTGCACCTCCCAGCTGATTTTCGGCCCCTTTTTCAACCTCCCAGAGGCTTGAGGAAAACTTCTGCAGCCTTTGCAGGCAAAAAATGGGTCTGTTTCATCATTTCCAGTATTTCCAAAAATACAAGAAGTGACAAAATGTGCCTATTTTTTGGCCTGTAAAGGTTTTCTTCAACTCTCTGGGAGGCCAAAAAAGGCCTCAAACAGGCCAAAAATCAGCTGTGAGGTGTGCACATGTGCAGTGGAGTAAGTTTGCCTATGGCTCGTGTGCCGGCACAAATGGCTCTGCATGCCACCTGTGGCACGTGTGTCATAGGTTCGCCATCACGTTTATAGGGAATCTATGCCAGTAGATGAACTTCTTTTGACTTTAGAAAGGTTCACTTTCCAGATTAATTCTTCCTAAAAAAAGCCACCCTAATGTATTGCCTTTACATACTCTCTCTCTCTCTCTCCTCTCTCTCTCTCTCTCCTCTCTCTCTCTCTCTGTCTTTCTCTCTTTCTCTCTCTCCTCTCCTCTTCTCTCTCTCTCTCTGTCTCTGTCCCTGTCTGTCTCTCTCTTTCTCTCTCTCTGTGCATGTTGTGTATGTGCATGTGTGCATGCATTATTTGTGCCTGTATTATTCTCCTCCATGTAGATATCATGTTTAATTTGGAGGAAGAAAATCAGAGTTAATGGCTGCCCTTTGGAATAAACCAGATCAGAAAATAAATGCCACTGGAAGACTACAATTATATATATTGAGAGAGACTATAATAACAACAAGCCCTATTGTGCTTTACCTCTCCTCCCTTTTATATCTCAGTGAACCATGGAGCAGCCTGTCTGGGTCTCTTCAAATACAATCTCCTTTCCCAGAATTTAAAGAATGGCTCAGCTCTCTTTGTTTATGTGACAGTATTTGCCTATTTTCTTCAGGGTCACCCCTCGGATTCTCTGTCCCAAATAATAAAAAGAGATGAAGTCTTAATTTTTCCCCACAAATTGAGAGCAAACAAATCATTGACTTTACATGTTATTCAGCTAGGAGTTCTTAAATAACATAAATGTGAAATTACTGGTGTGTTCAGTTAATGAATGGTCTTATAAACACCAAAAGCATACACAACAACCTGATTCCAGGAGATGCTATTTCAGAGAACAGACACAACTGAAACTCTTTTTTTTAGAGAATAGACGCAAGTTTTTGGGAACAGGTAAATGTTCCTATGATCAGATTCTGAATCAGACAATTAAAACGTGGATAATATAACTTTCTGGAATCTGAATTTCAACTCTCAGCTGGCTTTGAATGAAATCTGGAAGCTGATATTCATATATTTGGAGGGCACCCATATTAGGGAAAGTTGGCATAACAGGAATTCTTAAATAGACATCCTTGAGAAACCCAGAAATACCTGTTCTTTATAAGCTGGTGGAAACTATTTCTACTGATAGGCACACACACAAAAAAAAAAATCCAGGAGACATTTTGCTAAAGAAGAATCAATATTTTTTCTGACAAATCCCTTTCAGATTTTGTGGGGTAGAATGGGGTTTTAAAAAGGTTGGGCACATAGGCAATTTACTCTAAGACAAATGTATGTGTGTAAAGCAAAAATAGCTATTAAATGCTATAAGTATAATGAGTGCTTATCCTTCCTTAGGTTATACAGTCAATTCAGCTTCTGCACCTGGAGATCTGCTATACATTGCAGGGCAACCTCGTTATAATCACACCGGTCAAGTTATCATATATAAAATGAATGATACTGAAGTAGAAATACTCCAGAAATTAAGTGGTGAACAGGTAATTATGTATTATGACACTAATCCACTGTCTAGTCTTTCACTAAGGGTAAAAAAATCAATAAGCATCTCCTTATTCCTCACTAAGCATCTCCTTATTTAACTACATTTATAATAATAAAGTTATGTGCGCTGCACATTTACTCCATAAAAGAAATACAAGTGAGGACTTCATTCAAAACTATTACACCAATTGTCAAGGACTGTGTATCTGTTTTAACAATTACTAATATACAGTGCATGCTTTGAGTTTCTTTATAGGAAAATTGGGAAATTTTAGTTCATCTTCATTCTTAAAGAGACAGAATTTATTTGCACTTTCTAATTAGCTTTTTACAAAGTAATTTCTCCATTCAAAATATCCATATTAAAAATATCTATACAAGAAAAGTTTCACACAGCAAAACTTGCATGCACAACTAAATATAATTATCTAGCAGCAACTTGAAAACACAACAAATTACACAATATCATGTTTGAAGGAAGGTATTTTTATGTAAGAGAAGCAGCACTCAAACAAGAATATGTACAGACTGAACCTATGCACTTATATGACTTATGAATTGTGCTTTTGTATCCCTCTTAATATTCTGATTTTAGCAACAGCCAACCTCTGCTTGGGTGTTAAAATAGAAGTATCCACCCAGCTTAGTTTCTTTGTATTATCAAGCATGTACTTCCTGCAGCAAAATAACTCTATATCTGTAATAATTCTTAGTGTTCTAAGTTATATTTTTCAATCTCAAAGCAAATGCTTTAGACTAGTTTATCTATTCCTCACTCCCAATTCACATTCAGATATTTTCCAATATCAAGTTATACACAAACCATACGAAGTTATGAATTACATTACCTAGCAAAGTAGGGGACAGAAGGATTATGTAATGCAGACTTTTCTTTCCTTGGTGGCAACTTGTAGGTTTTTTTCCTCAATCGGATATGTTCACTTTCTTTTTTTTTCCCCTTGTACATCTAACCACACACGTGCACACAAAAATTGTGCAAATCTAAGTTGCCATTGAAAAAAAGAAATGGTTTAAATTTGATTGTTTAATTCTTACCCAATCTTAATCCAAATGAAATCATTAGTTTTTTTCACTGGTGGGGAAAATCACACAAAAAATAATTATCATTTTCAGACTCATGATACTACCTAATAACCATGTTGTTATGCATTAACATGCATCAATGGTGTGCTATTTTTTAAATCACAGATTGGATCGTATTATGGAAGTGTTATTACAACAATTGATATTGACAAGGATACGTATACAGATCTTCTTTTGGTGGGAGCACCGATGTACATGGGGACCGAGAAAGAAGAACAAGGCAAGGTGTACATTTATTCTTTAAACAAGGTAATGATTCTTTTTAAAAAAAATCATATGGATTGGGGATCCAAGTGACAGTCTAACATCAATTGATTGCATGTCTAGGCAATCAAAAGGACTTGTAATAAAAATCAAATGGGTCTTTTTGATCATTATTTCTTCTTTAACAGAAAACCTTTGAATATCAGATGACACTTGAGCCTGTAAAACAGACCTGCTGTTTGGTACACAAAGAGAAGGATTGCACAAACCACAACAAAAATGAACCATGCGGAGCTCGTTTTGGAACATCAATTGCTGCCGTAAAGGATCTCAATCTTGATGGTTTTAATGATATAGTCATAGGTGCTCCTCTAGAAGATGATCATCGAGGGGCTGTGTATGTTTATCATGGAAATGAGAAGAGTATAAAGAAAGAATATGCCCAGGTAGGGCTCAGGCTCAATGGCCTCATTCCAAAACCAAGAGTAGTTTAATTATGGCATTCTAAGCCTCTGGGAACTCTTCCATTTTGCAGAAAGGAACAAGTAGCATAAAATACAATATAGTTGCTCTGTGCAGGTGTATAGTCTTATTTTTAGATCAGGTATGTAAAACTTGATTTCATTGATGACTGCATCAGGTTGTGATTGACCTCGGGAGGGGTGGGGTGTATGTGGCCAGGGTGGGTGTGGCCAGCTCAACATCACTTGTGTTGGGGGCGCCTATGGTGGGCCAAGTGCTCTGCCAGTGAAAATAGGCTCTTGAGCTCTGTTTCTGGAGGAGACGCCTCCTGCAACACTCTGTCAGCGAAAACAGAGTTCACAAGGGCCACATGTGGCCCTCCTGAGCTATATTTTCTGCTGCAACAGCTTCTTGTAATCCTCTGTGAGTGAAAACAGAGTTCAGGAGAGCCACATGTGGCTCTCCTAAGCTCTGTTTTCACTGGCAGAGGCACCACGGGCTAGTCCCTTGCTGTTTCCAGGGTAGCCCCACAGGCCAGATCTAAGCATCCCGGATCCAGCCTGCAGACCTTGAGTTTGATGCCCCTGTTTTAGATTAATGTAGGAATAATCTATATCCAAAGTTGATGGCCAACCACCAGGGATTTTTAAAAAATAATTTTCACCCTCTTTTAAATTACAAAAAAGCTCTTTTTCCCACAGCTTTTTTATCTATGCACAGTCCACAAATCATCACTTTTCAGTCCTGTTTCAGTCCATTAAGAATTATCAGAAATATCAAACAGATCAAACAGATAATCAGAGTTGGAAGGGACCTTGTAGGTCATCTAGTCCAACCCCCCGCCCAAGTGGGAGACCCTATCAAACAAATACTTCATTCCTGATCACATAGTCCAATTTCAAATTATTTTTTCTTGCTCTTCACAATCTTTCATGGATCTTTGGCATTCAATGGACTCCCCACCCTCTTTGTAAATCCCATGAAGAAGCATCATGCAGGTATCTTTCTGGGATTTAGGTAGGACATCATTATGACAATATAAATGTCAATGTTTATTCAACTTTACATATTTTCTGCAATAGTAGGGATATGGGAGAGTTATAAAGGCCTGGAATCACAAACAATTATCTATTTGTAATATGCTTAAGTATATTTTATGGTTGGATATAATAAAACTGTGTTTCTTCAAAGCGTATCGCTTCTGGTGGAGATGGTGAAAAGATGAAATTTTTTGGACAGTCAATCCATGGTGAAATGGACTTAAATGGAGATGGACTTACAGATGTGACTATTGGAGGCTTAGGGGGAGCAGCTCTTTTCTGGTAGGTGTAGTCAACCTTGCTATCAGTTGTATATCAGTTGTACTCCCTAACCAATTTCTTTGTCATATGTGAATGTAACTGAGGAAATAATATCATTTCATAAGGAAGGGTTGGAAGTACTGTCATGGTTGCAAAATCGGCATGATTTTCAGAAGTATTGAGAACTCTAAAACAGCTGATTGTGTTTTGCATGAAATGTTGAGTGACTGAATTAAGAGCAACCCTTGAAAACTGGAATACAGAATCTAGGAAAATAACATGACTGGGTGGTAGGCTAAAAAAATAGACTCTTTTTTTTAAACATTGGAAAATAATGTTAAGTTGAGAGAGGAAATCAAGTTCGTTAGGACTGTCTATGATTATTTAAAATGTTTTGTACTTTATGCAAGCATAGGATCTCTCTTATATTCATAAAAATGTTAGACAGTTATTGACACAATTTCCAGCTTAATTTGCCCCCAGCATACACTCAGCTAATTCTTATATCAGCTCACAGCAAGCATACATGCTAAATATTACAAATATTGCAACATGCTGAACATTCTGTAATATTCCTTAATTGTTTTCTTTAGGTCTCGAGATGTTGCCCAAGTAAATGCTTCCATGAAATTCATGCCCAACAAAATTGATATTCAAAAACTAAGCAGTGACATGCAAAAACAAAAGTTGTATATTAACTCCACAATTTGTTTTGAAATCAGATTAAAGTCAAAAGACATCACAATTAATGAAACAAGTAAGTGGACATCCAGGTTTTTGAACTCTGCATAGATATTTTCTACCAGGAATGTCTGCTGGGAGGAGAAGGTGTCAAATATCAAGATGGTGACCACTACATTTCATGCCTTTTTTAAATGTGTGTCATACGTATAACACACATCAGAAAAAAAAGCTGCTATCTTGACTGTTTTGACCTCTCTCCTGAGGATGCTCCTGTCTTTATTGTTCAAACCACAGCTGCAATCAAAAACACTTACTTCTGAACAGTTCTTTAAATCCTGGGCCATCACTTTGGGGCTTAACTTTGTTACATAAACATAAAATAGAACTGATGTTTTTAAATGGTTTTATAACACTGTATTTCATGCCAGCTAGAAGTTGAAGTAGGAAGATATCACACTACTTAGAACTTTAATAATAAGGGGGAAACAGAAGCCTGGGCCTTAACTACAGCATTCAGGATTCAAAGGATAACTGTAGCTATTTATTAGACCAGAGGTTGCCAACCTTTTGGACCTCAGGGACCACCAAACTCATAATTTTAAATCGCATAGACCAGAGACCCTGGGAAAATCCCCCAAAAAAGTCTGCAGGAAAATTCCCCATGCCGTTTGCCTACCTATCGATCATTCTTTATTTGGGATTGCAGGATACCATCTCCAGATCTGTTCTCAGGGGGAGAGAGAGTGAGAGAGAGAGAGAGAGACTTTTGGCTTCATGCAAGGAAAGCAGCAGCAGCAGCAGCAGCAGAAGTCTTTCTTTCTCTCCCCCAAACTCTGCCAGAAATGAGTCTTTGTGAGACTTGTCATGCCTGCACAGCCACTTGGAGCAGGATGCCTTTCAAAGACTCATTTCTAGTGGAGTTTGGGGGAGGGAAAGAAAGACTTTTGCTGTTTTCCTTGTGTGCAGAAGAAGAAAGAAATGGAAAGAAGCAGCCCAGTGGCCAGGCCAGGCACTTGGGGTGAGTGGGGCAAGTTCCCCCCTCCACCCTTTCCCCCCTCCCCTCACTACCTTGTGTTGTTCGCAATGCAAGCAATACAAGCCTTGTGTTCTGTGGGCCATGTGGGTGGCACAGCCTTGTGTTTCCGCGCAGCCTGGATTAATTGCTTTGTGGGTAACATTTCTCTGCAGACCACCAAAATTTTCTCACGGACCACCAGTGGTCCCCGGCCCACTGGTTGGCAACCTCTGTATCAGACGATTATGTTGTATATAGAATGCTAGAAAAAAACCCAATTATGACCCCCAGAGGTTTCTCCTAGAACTGAGAAAGAAAAAGACTAAACTCTATTCAAGAGGACAATATATAATTGTTTCAGTGTATGTGAGCAACCTCCTATTGTCTCACAATTAGATACGCATTCTGTCTATGGACAAAAAAATTTTTTTTTCCACAAATGGTAAGATCGGAAATGTATATCCTTTGTTAAACTTTTGACCCATTGCTTTTAATTTAACTCAACTGGTCTTCCTCAGCAGATAGCAGCTTTGATGTACATGGATTTGGAAGCTAAGCAGTATCAGGTCTGGTTAGATTTAGATGGAGGACCTTCAGAAAGTTAAATGGAAAGAATTGAAATATATCCTGGAGCAGGCACTAGGAAGCTGTTTCCATGCAGCTACCAAGAAAGCTACATCAGCAATTAATGCAAAGGTTTTCAACCCCAAAGCTCAACTTACAGAATTCCAACAATGCAACATAAGAACTCTAAGCTACACATATTATATTTGATACCCATGCATTGTATTAATATAGTCTTTAAAAGTGATAGAACTAATGGAGGAAACAGATGAGCAGCTTTCAAAGAGAGCTACTTTAGAAACATCTTATGCATGGAATTAATTGCTGCTATTTTTGTTCCTAGATATACAGTACTGGTTTACACTTGATTCACAAAGAAAGGTGTCTCGAACACTTTTTGCAGAAACAAATGAACGGAAGATTCAAAGAAACATCACAGTTAGAGGTTCAGAATGCATTAAGCACAACTTCTACATGTTGGCAAGTAAATCATATAAAGTGGTTGTCTCCTTTGCTTATTGCTATAATTGCCTTTATCTCATTATTAATCAATTTTAAATAGGGCTAGACAGAAGTTCCGTGAAGATGAGCTCCAGCATGAATCCAAAAGCTCAGAAGACCAAAACCTTTGGTCCCAGTGACTGGTCCAGATTGGATCCTAGCCTGTTTCTATTGTATTGGTCTACTATACGAAGCTAATATTGATCTCATTGGGGACAATAGCCCTGTAATGCACTATTTTAAATTCAACATGTAAATTATTGTATATGTACTTAAATTATCACAGACTGTTCAGGATGATTGGTGGCATGCTGATATTTGCATGGAGAAAATACCCTTAAAATATACAGCTTAAATATATATAATCATCTTAATCTCTTACCCATCTGACTTTCTCCATTTTGCATATGCATTATTTTTCCATTTTCTATATGCATTTATAGAAAATTAAATATGGTGGATGGCTGAAGCTCAGAACTTTGGAAATACAGCATTTCATATGTTGAGATGGTAGATCGTCAATTGAGGGGTTGGGTGGTGAAGGACAAGTTTCTGGCAAATGGATGATTTGTGTCTGGCCATGCCCTGTATATTGTTTACTTCCAACATACCTACATACCTGTAAGGATGGCAGCATTTAACTAAACATGGCTAATCTTGCAAAAAAAAAACCAACAACATCCCCCATCAAAATCACCAGGGAATAGGTAGCATTCCCAATAACCCTGGAAAAGACCATGAGCACTTCCATATTCTGCGACAAAATCAACATATATATCCCAAAGAGTTTGAATTTGATTCAAGGGAATCTATCTTTAGCCCAACACAAAGTTTTTTTCACTTATTTCCTTCTGCAAAGAACTTCCTCCTTGAAACTGATGCAATTAAAGAATAATTGAATAGACCTATATTTAATGAAAGGCCATTGCCAACACAGAAAATTAACACATGTGATTTTGTGTATGCATAAATGTTTGTGGTTTCTAGGCTTACCAAGATTTTGTTTATGAGACACAGCAATATCTCATTAGTTACAAATAAAAACTTGAAGAGGAAATACCTTAATTTTTATCAAGCACTAAGATCTAGACAATTCCTTCAGCTGTCACTTTCATCAATATTATCATCAACAACACTATCATCATTCTTTTTAAATGCTTATTCGCTAATGATGGGCATGAATGATAAAGCTTGAAAGCATTAATTTTTAGTTTGTAACTTACAAGAAAAAAAGTAATCTTGCTGGGTGATAACCTCTTAATAGGAAAATTATACTAGTTGGCTTATTTTCTTCCATCCAGACAGTAGATTTCATACCATTCAGAGGGTTCTTCTATTATGGAAGCCCAAAATCTGCATTCAAATCAACATTAATCCATGCTATGACCACTTTGCTTTTCATATCACTTGCCCTCAATGTCTCTGACTTGCCAGTGCCTCCAGCAAAGCAATCTGATAATTGACCTTCTACCACCAAGGATGATGAAGTAGCTCCTTAGATGGAATTTTTACTTTTCAATAGTTTTTCAATAGCTTTTTTATTTTTTACATTTGGAGGAGTTAGCACAGGCAATCATTCACTATGCTTTCTAGACATCCTTGGCTCAGGCCAAAATGGAAAACTTTGTTCCGTGCCAATTTTCAGGAATTAGATCTTTAAAGTCTATTGTATATGACAACCAAGAATGCCTAGCAACACAACTGTCAGGGACATATCCCATGCTTGCTAGATAATTTTCAGAATGAGATAGATTTCATTGTTGTAAATATATATTTCTTTTTCTTTCTTTTCTATTTGTAGCTGTATATTTATGCATTTTTAAATTATAGACTAGATGGGGATTCCCTTCCTTCATATAGCACCCTGTATTTATATGAAAAATAAGGAGAAATCTTGCTTAGAATGGAGGCTTATTAAATATAGAGATTCAGATTGTCAGTTTCTAATACAATGTTCTTGTTCTTGAAGAAAGAGCAAATTCCAATGCCTGATTTGCTTTGGATTTTTTCCAGGGCAAGCCTGACTTTCGTGATCCTATAAAGGTTTTGCTGGAGTTTAATTTTTCTGACCCCGAGAGTGGACCAATCCTTGACAGTGAGCTGCCCAATTCAGTAGCTGAATATGTAAGTAACTACAATGTGGACAATTTTAACTTTTGTGTTACAGTATAGAGTTACGTATTAAGAATGACATTTGATCCTCTGCGTGTGAGTTAACTCACTCCATCTACCCCCAATCATTTCAGTCCTCTCTTCAAACAAACTTGTTCCAAAGATGAGAATTAACCTTTTCGGCACCAAGTGTCCAAAGTGCACGCACGTGCATGCATTCTCAAAATGCAATGTGTGCATGCCACCTACATGCCCCACGCCCCCGTGCATGCATGGCAGAGACCTGAAGACCAGCTGGCTGGCAGGGGGTGCGCAGGCAGATGTGTGGCAGAGCTGAGCTCTTGTGTGCCCAGAGAGAGGGCTCTGCGTGCCACTTCTGGTACACATGCCATAGATTCACCACGGGACTAGAGAGCTCACGTAATTTTTCCCAAAATAAACAAATAAATGGTACTGTCATGTTGGGTCCTCTCTTGGTAAAATAAGACATGCATGACTGAACATGGCCATCTGCTTATTCTATAATAAATTTATATTTGCTTTCTCCATTCTTTAACACAACCAGAGCCTTTCTGTGGTAGGAGAAGATATTTCAGCCACGTTCTTCCTCAGCACATTGTTGATGGGGTTATAGTTATGTATGCATGTCTACATAACTTGGACTTGCTATCAGATACTTAATGGAAATCATGGAGCACAACTCTTTTGCAAATCCATATTAGGAATTTGATGACACTATTAAAAACTAGGCAGGACGTTCCAGAATTCCAGAAAGGGAAAGAAATTAGCAGGGGTTAAATAATGTGTAGTCTTTTCATTGCTAATCAATAATTCCTTGTAGATCCATTTCACGAAAGATTGTGGAAACAAGAACAAATGTATCACTGATCTACAGCTGACTGCTAACGCAACCATAGGGGGAAACAGGTAAGTCAAATGAAACACAAATTCTATCTCTCTGTCATTCTGCTTCTCTCTATTTTTTTAATGGAATGTTCTGTTTAAAATATGATTTAAAGAGATAAATATAACCAAAGTAGAAATAAAAACAGTGGTAGATCATTATCCTGATCAATGCATAAAAATTATTGAAGCTCTAAAGTAGACTAAAATAGACATTATGGAAAATGCTTAATGGCTGCCCAAAATAACAGCTCCTTATTTTTCCCCTTGTATCACTGGGCTGATAAGTCACATCAGCACTCTGAGCCTCAAAAAGAAATGAGGGGTGTGGGGGGGAGAGGGGAAGAGATAGAGAGGGAAATGGAGAGTTTCATGGAGAGATAGAGAGGGATGACAGAGGCCATGCAGGCTATATACTCTTGCAAGGTCATTCATTAGGGGACTGGAGACTAAAACATATAAAGAATGGTTGCAGGAATTGGACATGTCTAGTTTAATGAAAAGAAGGAATATGAGTGACATGATAGCAGTATCCAATATCTCAGGGGCTTCCAGAGAAGAAGGAATCAACCTATTCTCTAAAGCACATGAAAGCAGGACAAGAAGCAATGGATGGAAACTAATCAAGAAGCCTAGAACTAAGAGAAATTTCCTGATTGTTAGAAAAATTAGCTAGAGGAATGACTTGCCTTCAGAAGTTATGGATGATCCAATACTGGAAATTTTAAAGCAGAGATTGGACAACCATTTGTCTGAAATGGTATAGGGTTTCTTGCTTGAGCGGGAGGTTGGACTTGAAAACCTCTAAGGTCCCTTCCAATTCTGTTATTCTGTCACTTCGTCTTCCTTACCGTTATCTGCAGCTCCTAAATTGTCAAGAATTATTTACTGGTGGCTGAAGGGGACCATATTCCTATTTTAGAAGAGGATTGCACATTTTCAGTCAGAAGGAAGAGCAAAAACTAAACATAAACGTAACTGTATCTAAAGATCTCCATATGTTCATCAGCACGCATGCAAAATTAAGAGTTCTCCTTGCTATCTGTCAGCTTGCTATCCACGCTGCCACAAGCTTGAGAAAGTGGGAGGAGGGTGGATTCAGTTGAAAAGCTCTAAGTAGACAAGATAAAATTCTTTTGCTAGTTCAAGGTCATTGAGTTTGGCGTAGGAGGAAATAAGAATATTACTTTTGAAAGGATCGTGATTGGGCCATGTGATGTGATAATGGCCAAGGAGGGGGATGGATTTGTAGTTTGGGAAATTGTGGGAAGCCCAAAAATTTTCAGGTTCGGGATTCTACAGATGTGCCAGTTGCTATTCTAATAAAGGTACTTTTGAGATATGGGTGTCTCGGTGTTACTGATTAGAATGGAGGTTTGCTGGAACGCTGGCACTATCATTGAGAAAGGCAGGTTGTTGTAGCAGGAACGCCACATTTTTCAAAATATGGAATTGCTTTAGATAATAAGCATAATTTCATGGATCTAAACATGGGGTCATTGGTGGGGCAATATTAAAGAATTCCTTCTAGTTATCTCAGTTACATTAGGCTGTCTTGGGAAAACATAAAAATTCTCTTCTCTCCAACAGTACTTCTGTGGATATAATTAGGAATTTTGTGACCTTAGGGAGGTTATGTTTCCTCCCATCCCATCATTCCATTCATAATTTTCATATTTGGGCCACTAATGGATTGCAGATGCCTGCCGAAATCTGTGTCTCTCACAATGTGTCAAAGCAAGACATTTAAAATAATTGCTTGAAAATGTACATATCAGAAATATATACAAAATATAGAATTTTTTGAAACAGAATTTCCCTGTTACTTGCAATCAGTGTTCACATAATAAAACTGCATAAAGTGAACAGAAACCAATGTTTATGACAACTTTTTCTGATAAATGAATATATTTATATTGTTTTTAATAGTTTTTTTACTGAGAGTATTTGCACCAAGACAAATTCCGTGTGTGTCCAACCACACTTGGCCAATAAAGAATTCTATTCTATTCTATTCTATTCTATTCTATTCTATTACTATGTATGCCATCCATAATCACCGAGATGGGCAGCGTTTAATGTGATTATATAAATAAACATTGATTATGTTTGGAAAAAGATAAATTCAGCCAAACTGAATAGCATAGGAGTGTTTATACTTAGGTGCTCATTAATCATCTGGGTTGTGACAAGGTTTGTGCAGCAGTAGCCCTAAGTACTGTATAATCACAAAGAACAGCTGAGAGCTACACATGTGATCTGCAAGATATGAGTTAACTACCCATAATCTTGAGAAGTTACATGGGAGCCAACTGTCTGTGGAGATTCTCAGTCATCCAGGTCATAATTATCTCAAAGGTGCTTTTTTCTTCAAAAGGCAACTGGACTGGGTTTTTTTCCTGGATGAAGAAGAAGAAAACGTTTTGCTTCTCATCCAAGAAGCTTCATGTGTTCTGATGGTGGGGGATGGGAGCCAATCATTGCACTGCAAATTTCCCTACTCCAGTGGGGGGTTCAAAATTTTTTGCTACCAGTTCTGTGGGAGTGGCTTGATGGGCATGGCAGGGGAAGGATACTGTAAAATTCCATTCCCTCCCCATCTCACTAACCTGCTTTTCAGCTCCGTTCTCTTGTGCAGGGCAACAAAAGAAGACCCAGCCAATCAGCTGGGATGCAGAAGGCAGAGAATAGATGGGGGCAGGGCTAGTCAGAGGTGGTATTTGCCGGTTCTCCAAACTACTCAATATTCTGTTACAGGTTCTCCAGAACTGGTCAGAACCTGCTGAATACCACCTCTGCCCTACTCCATTTCAGTGGTGGTAGTCTACCAGTTCGGCCTAGTTTTGCTGAGCCAGTAGCAGCGATAGGCAGCAGAGACCGAAATGGTTCTCTCTGTCGCTCTTCTGTTGGGCCCACCTGCCCACCTGGGCTCCCATACTCACCTTTAACCTCTGAATTTGAAGCGCAGCTGCTTTGTGCGGCACAGAAGAGTGCTGTGTGACAGCTGCTGAAGCAACCGGGATTGTGCAGGCTTGCAGGAGGCAAGTTAGAATGCTTCTGCACATGTGCAAACACCTCTGTGCCTGCACAAAGCGCGCATTTGGTGCACACGTGCATGCAAAATGTGCACACACAGACAAAGCGTACCCACCAAGCCACGCCCACCGAACCGGTGGTAAACATATTTGAATCCCACCACTGCTCCATTTACAGTTGAGTGTTTGTAGAAAAAAGGAAAATCATAGTGTTTTGTTTGAGCAATGAGAGGCTGAACCAGAGCATGAGTGCAACAATACTTTATTTTACAATAAAGGGCTGACCGTGCTTGCCAAGCCTGGAACTGGCTCGCAGCAATCAGCCCCCGGTTGGACCCCGCAGCCTGCTTTTATAGCTGGCTGCTGGGGAGAGCCAACCAATGGGAATGGGGGGAATAACGCCCACGTAAAGTGAGTGGACCTGAGTGAGAACTCCTAGAGTCCTCAGGACATAACACCCCTTCCCCCCAGATGTGAACATGCATAGTCCTTGAGGTAGACGGGGGGTTTGTGTTGGCGCCCGGAACGGCGCAACTCGGGAACATTGTCTGTCTGTTCGGTACCAGTCTGTGATGGTCGAGCCGGCATGGTGTCGCCAACACTCTCTCTGGACTGGGCATCCTCGGGCAACACCGGGTTGGTTGCTGGGGTCGAGCTCTCATGGGTTGGACCAGGCTGGTCAACTCTCTGGGCGCTGTTGTCCGAGTTTGGGCTGACCGGAACGACCGCTGGTGCAGACTGGTCGCTGGGTACGATGTGGCTGGGCGGCGGATGAGGCGGTTCCCCTTCGACTGGAGACTCTGGACTCTTGTTGGCAAGGGTGCTGAGGCGCCTTCTAAGCTGGTCTATATGTCTCCTCCAGACGCGACCATCCTCCAGCCTGACTCTATACGATCTCGGCCCGGTGATGGCGATGACCTCGCCTGGAATCCAAAGTGGGTCCCCGGCGAAATTCCTTGCGAATATCGGTTCCTGTAACAAAAAATGTCTAACCCCCGACGTAGAAGCGAGGGGAGAGTCAGGGCAGTATTGGGGGTGCAATCTGTCCAATACAGTCCTCAGGCGCCGGCCCATCAGAAGTTCCGCTGGGGACTTATTGGTGACTGCACAGGGGGTTGAGTGTTGGCTCATCAGGAACCGTGCGAGTTTGTGGTGCCAGTCATCCCTGCCAAACCTAGCGAGGGCCTCTTTGGTGGTCCTGACGGCCCTTTCAGCCAACCCATTACTGGCAGGGTGAAATGGGGCTGTGAAAATGTGGCGAATGCCCAGGTTGGCAGCAAAACGGCTGAATTCTACTGATGCGAACTGTGGGCCATTATCGGAGACAATGGAGTCGGGTAGTCCATGTGTAACGAACAGGCGCGTTAACACGTTGGTGATTGCTAGTGTGGTGGTCGTGGATAGCTGCGCCACGTCTATCCATTTGGAATAAGCGTCCACGACCACTAGGAACATCTTTCCATGCACGGGGCCTGCCAGATCGATATGGATTCTAGACCAGGGGGCGTTGGCGCTCTCCCATCTGGTAGGGGTGGCGATGGGGGGAGCAGGACGGGATTCCTGGCAAATGCTGCAGGAACTTACCCAATTGACAATGTCTTCGTCTAGACCCGGCCACCACACGTAGCTGCGTGCTAATGCCTTCATTCTCACGATGCCGGGGTGTCCCTCGTGCAACGCCTCCAGGACTCGGGTACGCAGCGAGGTCGGAATGACCACTCGAGTGCCCCACAGTAGACAACCCTGCAAACTGGACAGCTCCTGCATGCGAGTCTTAAAGGGTGCGAATTTGTTATCGACATTGCCTCCCGGCCACCCCCTCCTCACCCAGTCGAGCACCTGGGCGAGCGTTTGGTCTGCCTTGGTTTTAGCGGCGATGTCAAGGGCGGTGATGGGCAGGTCCAACTGGGTGATTTCAAAAATGGCGTTGACAGGAGCTGGGTCTTCAGCCGGAGTGGGTAAGGGGCAGCGACTGAGAGCGTCGGCGTGGGATAGAGTTTTGCCCGGGTGGTGAATATGTTTGTATGAATAGGCCGCTAGGAAAAGTGTCCACCTTGTCATTCTAGGGGAAAGGACTTGAGGTGTCTGTTTGTCGCCGGCCAGTAGGCCCAGGAGGGGCTTATGGTCGGTGACCAGTTCGAAGAAATGGCCAAAAAGGAATTCGTGAAACTTTTTCACGGCTGCAACAGCTGCTAGGGCTTCCTTGTCTATTTGGCTGTAATTTCGCTCCGTGGCCGAGAGCGTCCTGGAGAAAAAGGCGATGGGGGCCTCGGCGCCATTGGGGAGTCTGTGACTAAGGACCGCCCCAATTCCAAAAGGGGATGCGTCTGCTGCCAGTACTAAAGGAAGGTTGGGGTCGAATTGGATGAGCACTGCCTCTGACGTAAGTAGTGATTTGACGGTGTTAAACGCCTGGTCTTCTTTGTGCCCCCAGTGCCACGGTGACTTTTTGTCTAGTAATCTGTGTAGGGGTTCGGCTACTGAGGCTTTATGGGGCAAGAAGGATGCATAAAAGTTTAGGAGCCCCAAGAAAGCTTGTAGCTCCGTTTTGGAGGTCGGTGTGGGAGCTTCGTGGATCGCCCTAACCTTGGACTCCAGGGGGTGAATGCCAGAGGCGTCAATTTTATAACCCAGAAAGTCCACCTGTCTAGTGGCAATGGCACATTTTTCTTTTTTTAACCTGAGGCCATGCTGTCTGAACCTCTCTAACACTGCTCGCACTCTCTGGAAGAGTTGGGGTCTGTCCCTGGCCGAGACCAAGATGTCGTCGAAGTAGGGTACTACACCAGGGAGGCCCTGTAAAATCCGCTCCATGAGGGACTGAAAAATACCCGGGGCAACGCTTACGCCAAATTGGAGACGCTTGCATCGGAAGGCACCCCTGTGAGTGACGATGGTCTGAAGTTCCGCTGTTTGGTTATCAACAGGGAACTGTTGATATGCTTGAGACATGTCCAATTTAGCAAAAATACTGCCCGGTTCAAATGTGTGCAATAAGTGCTGAATGACGGGCACAGGGTAGGCGCTAACTTGTAAATATTTATTGATTGTTGTCTTGTAGTCCGAGCAAATTCTCAGGCTACCATCTTTTTTGAGGGGTGTGACAATGGGCGTCTCCCACTTGGCGAAATCTGTTGGCTCAATGACCCCTTGTTTTAGTAGTTTATCCAATTCAGCGTCTAGTTTTGGTCGAATAGCAAATGGAACTCTACGTGGTTTTAATCTGATTGGGACTGCCTGGGGGTCAACGGTGAACGAGATGGGGGTTCCATTATAACACCCCAGCTCCTCGCTGAACACATCTGCGTAGTCAGCGAATAAGGAGTCAGTGTCTGAGGTTGAGACAGCATGGACTCCTGTTAACCCTAGGCCGAGGTGGGGAAACCAATCGAGCCCCAATAAGGTGGGTAGATTGCCGTTAACTACCACTAGAGGTAGGTGGCCTTTAAAAGCTCTAAAACTGACAAAGAACTTGCCTCTGCCGATCACGGGAATGGCCTTCCCCTGGTAGTCCTTCAGACCGAACTGGCATCTCTGAAGCCGGGTAGTAGATAGGCTGGGGTGGAGTCTCTTGAGGGTGTTCCACGAGATTATTGAGAGCGCTGACCCTGTGTCAACCTCCATGTGGCACGGTTTAACTTCTAGGGAAACGGAGAGAGAAATTTTACTAACAGTGTGGCAATTACGCCTGGCAAGGTGGTGCGTGCGACAGTTTAATACTTGCCTCTGTGGTCCCGAGTGCGAGGACGGAGGTCTGTGTGCAGCGCTTTGGGGGGCTTGGCAGACTCTCGCAATGTGCCCCCTCTTATGGCAGTTGTTGCAAACAGCTCCTTTAAACTTGCAGGTGGCCCTTTGATGTGATCCCCCACAGGCTAGGCACAGTGTGATGTGCTTGGGTGGACCGGTGTATTCTTGTTTGGCCCCTACCTGCGACCGTCTGTCATTGGTGAGGCGATGGACATCGTTCTCATCGTTGTGGGCTTCCTCCGCTTCCACCTCTTCGGAATGGACTGGGAACGATGCTAGCTTGGCACTTGGGCCCTGAATTTCGGTGGCTGAGTTCGTTGCTAGCTCGGCTGCTAGGGCCTCCTCTACCGCTTGCGCGAGGTTGAGGTCTTTTTTAGCTAGCAGTCGCCTCTGTAGGTTGAGATCCTTGACCCCACAAACTAATTGATCGAGGAGCATGTCCTCCAGGTATGTTCCAAACCCGCAGTGCAGGGCTGCTGTTCTGAGGGCGGCCATATATTGATTGATGGTCTCCTTACTTGATTGCTTCCTCATACGGAACGTGAACCTCCTGGCGATTTGTGAAGGCCTGGGAGCGTAGTGGTTAGTGAGGATCTCAAGCAACTCGGACCACGGAACGTTTTTCAATTCTCTCGGCGCTACGAGTGCTGCGGCGGTATCGTAAACGGTGGCTCCGCAGTAGATTAGGAAATAGGATTTTTTCCGGTGCTCTCCCGCATCCGCCAGGCCGACCTCATCGATGTAATGATTGAAACGGTTCTTATACGATTCCCACTTCTCTTCGTCTGGTTTAAACGCTGGGAATACTGGGTTGGAACTCATGGTGCTGGAACGGCTGGGCTACCTGCGGAAAAAATCTCTCTGGGACTACGAGCGCTCGTGAGTTACTAGTGATATCAGCTCTGGAGAGGTTTTTTGCTACCCTCTCTTTCTCTCTCTGGGTTACCACGTTGGCTGCTAGCCGTTGGAGGTGTCTTGATTCGCGCCAAAAAAAGTGGGCGTTAGTGACTCTCTACAGCGCTGTGCTGTGATTCCTACTGGCTCGAAATTCAAATGACACCCGTTTGAATTTCGCGCCAAATGCAGAGCGGCTGCGGCTCGCAGCGCTTCACTTTCCCCGTAGCGGGGCTAACAAGCGGCTACAGACGCTTCTAACTATTTGACTCAGACCGCTTTCTCTGGCTGCGGATCTGCGTTTGCTCTTTTTGATCGCTCGTTTCGTTAGCTGACCGCTCTCTCTGGCTGCGGATCAGCGTCGCCAGCCGATCGCTCTCTCTGGGCTGTAGATCGGTGGCTAGTGACTCAGCGGTTGCAAGGTGCTTCTGGTAGCCATCCCATCCTCGTCGCCAGTGTTTTGTTTGAGCAATGAGAGGCTGAACCAGAGCATGAGTGCAACAATACTTTATTTTACAATAAAGGGCTGACCGTGCTTGCCAAGCCTGGAACTGGCTCGCAGCAATCAGCCCCCGGTTGGACCCCGCAGCCTGCTTTTATAGCTGGCTGCTGGGGAGAGCCAACCAATGGGAATGGGGGGAATAACGCCCACGTAAAGTGAGTGGACCTGAGTGAGAACTCCTAGAGTCCTCAGGACATAACACATAGTGTGTGATGTCACATCACAGTTATTTTGCAAAACTAAACATTACTTGGGAGAAAGTTCAAATATTAGGCTGTTGTTTTTAGCAATAGTCCAAATCTGTGTTAATACTGGATTCTTCCTTCATATTATAACAGCAGCAGTAATGTCAGGCTTACCCTTTTTCTTTTTTTAACTCTAGAATGACGAAGTAGTAAAATGTATCCCATTTCTAACAGTAAATAGATCTTATACCAATCCATTTTGATGCTCCAATTATATGACTCTACAACTGTCAAAAAAATGTCCACCTAATTTTCTGTTTCCTCCCCCCACTTTATTATATGCTGCTGACTTAATAAAAGATATAGTTTAAGATCTACAAAGCCAGAGCTGTTTTACACTTGTTTATGATCTGTGTTCTTTATCTTTTTTACATTTTTCAGTTTATCTCCATTCATCATCAGATTGAATAATTTGAAGTTCTGGGTCCAAATGTTGGTCAGAAATAAAAAAGACAGTGCATACAATACAAGAGTCTATGTGCAACATTCTCCAAATATTATTTTTTCTGGAATTGAGGTAGATATTTTTAAATTATCATCTTGTTGGGAGAGGAAAAAGGTAATGCAAACTCGTTTAGAGAAATTAGGATGTCCATTATTGATTTTTCTACATTCCAGGTTTACATGTTTATTTATTATAGATTTATGCCACATATTTTCTTGGGAACTCCCAGGAGGCAAATGAAGGACATTCTCTTATTTTTTCCACAAAATGATCATTCAATGAGGAATATTTATTATAATACTGTACATACATAATATGACTATATGTGGTTCCTTTGCAAACAATCCTGTGGAAATTTCAAAGATGGGTAACCATTACCATGAGAGGAAAATGTTGATTAAAAAATAATAATTGATTGAAGCCAGAGTCCTAGGCATGCTAGCAGACCCTAATCCAATGACATCTAGTTTTGAGAAGGTATATGAAGTAGTTTTACAACTTGTAGTCAGAAAGCCTTGGATTTGAATCCATGTTGCTTTTCATAGTTTAATTTTACAAAGAGGGAAATTATAGAATGTGGTACATAGAGAGCTATCCTGTTAGATGTATTTAAATAATACAACTTAGTTTTCTCTCCCACTTTTTTGTCACTTTCTGCACATTTTTCAGAGGAAAATGTGCCTCTCTGGTGTATATGACTGCACTGAAACTTGTGGATGATTTTATTTCCTTTACAATTGTGTCAAATGCCTTATAATGATTAAGAGTTAATCAAGTCCTGCATGTTAAATGTGTGAATGTTTGTATTTCTATTTAAGAATAAGGAACAAGCAGATTAAATCCATATCAGGGCCATGGCAGATGGAGAGAGAGCTTCAAACTTTTCCTGAACTCTTGAGTCCTAATTAAAATCATCCGCAGCTGTTACTCTTCCAATAAGGAAGCTCTCCTTAATCTTGAGGAAAGTTTCCAGAATAAACAGCAGTTTTAGAAATTGTGAGTTTTGAGGAAGGCAGAGCAAGGGGTATGGTGGAAGGTAGGTTAGTAGATGGGGTTTGACTAGACCCTAAAGGAAATTCAGTTCTTGCTCAGTCATGAAGCTGCACAGGGAGATCAATTATTCTTCACTAATTCTGGTTCACAAAGTTTGGGACTACATAGCAATAGCAATAGCACTTAGACTTTTATACTGCTTCACAGTGCTTTCTACGCCCCCTCTAAGCAGTTTACAGAGTCAGCCTATTGCCACCAACAATCTGGGTCCTCATTTTTCTCAGAATGTATGGAAGGTTGAGTCAACCTTGAGCCTGGTGAGATTCAATTTGCCAAATTGCAGGCATCCGACAGTCAGTAGAAGTAGCCTGCAGTACTGCATTTTAATCATTGCAAAACCGCAGCTGTTTGTCACAAATATGTTTTGGGATATTGATTTTTTTTCTATTATTACTATTTTTAAATAATTGATTTCTTATCATTTTATATACAGAGAATACCAAAAGATAGCTGTGATACTGGGCAGAACATCACTTGTAAAGTAGGCTATCCCTTCCTGTCTCCCAAGGAGGAGGTAAGACAATGTGCAAAACAGTTGGGTGACGTGTATAACATATTTTAAATATAAACAAACACAAATGATGTTTGAAAATATCTGTTCTCCTCCTACCAACTTTTTTTTTCTGTGTGACTAGATTTTGAATCAAAAGTGTATATGTCCATTTGTGTGTCCAGCATAGCATTTTTTTCTGTCATTCTTGTAGCCTGTCATTTTTAAATCCACATTCAGATCAGTTGTGGTCTTATCTGATAAAACCTATTACTCTTCCATAATATCTTTTAAACATAGCTTATATACAATTGCACGCTTAAAATTAAATTCTGAGTCCGCTGTTCACAAATATCTTTTAATATGTCCAGTATTCCACTATGATGTTCCATTCTGCATTAGTAAATGAAAGTCTTCTTCTCCTTTAATAGTATTATTTGGTTCCTTCTGCTTCCCTCTGGTGTCCAACAAAGTTCCATACTACCATTTTTTAAAGAATTCATAGTATGTATGAATTTGTGTGTGTGTGAATATATGCATACATGTCTGTGTGTCTGAATTAAAAATGTATATTTCAACATTTCTCCAAATGGTATCCTACAATGAACAGAAGTTACCAGTTAGCAGAAAGTTAATATAGTTCATTCTTTACCATTCATACCCACAGGAAACAAAACAAGAATTAAACATAACTAAAAGTAAAGAGGAAATAAATAGAGAAGCAGCAAATGGAATGCATATTTAGAACTTTCTCCTCAAACACCTTCTCAAATCAGGAATATTCTTCATTAGTTTGACTAATTAAGAACATTCCTCATTTAAGAATCCAACCTTGTTGTGCACTTAACTGTGATGTGATGAGATATAGTCAGATGTGATAAAGTTGTTGCATTCTTTTTTAGTTTCTATACGTGGGATGGGAAGGATAATGTTTGTCCAGATGTTATTAGAAGACAAATTCCAGATAAATATCAATAAAAGCAACAGGAAAACAACAGTTCAGAATTGAGGGGACTTTAGTTTGGATCTTGAAAAGAACAAAGTTTGGCCTTGAAACATACTTAATCACCTCAGGTAAAAACCTAGATTACTTGTTGCTTAGAGAATATTGTGCAAACCTATGGCCTATGTGAATTCAGCAACCAGATAAAGATGCCAATTCCACAAGACATTTCACACAAAATTTCAATTAGTAATTTATCTCTAATCATAAATTGATAAAAGAGGGAAGGATTTTTTTAAAAAAAATAATAATTGATTGAATTTCAGAGCATTTAAAAGGGTGAAAAGTCTGGGCATTCCAGATGCTACTATAATACACTAGAACTCCCTACTTTTGACTATTTTCTTTATGAAATTTCAAATTCCTGGCTGGTTTAAATACACAAAAGTTCCTGGAAGCCCTTTCCAACACCACCAAATGGATTGGACAGGGTTTGTCTTGTGTGAATTCTGAAAACCATAGACGTAGAATAGAACTTATATGGGAACTTAAACAATAATCTTCCAAGAGGTCAAAGTGTCTCCAAGCTGCATTTTGTGGATAATATGTGTTTATATATTATTAACCCCGATGTAATATGAACCTGGTTGAAGATATAAGGGAAGCATTCCTTAATGACTTTGTGATCATAAGAGCAATTGCTTCCTTAGAGCTTATGACCAAAGAGATATTTATCTTCAGTTATACAAAGTTTAGGCAACCAGATTCTTGATTCAGATCTTCCTCTGAGAATTGAAGTTTATGTGACAGGATATGTGGGAGGGCTGGCCTCTGACCTATGTGTGAGATCATGTGAACTTCCTATAAATGTTATATTTCCTTAAGGGAAAAACAGGAGAGTTGAACAGCCAAGTAATATATAGTATGCTCTGTACTAAAAAAAGTGTGTGTATGTATATATACAGTATATATTGTATATAATGTGTGTGTGTGTATATGTATATACTGTATACCAATATATACTGAATCTTTATACAGATTCTTCATAATTCAGGAAATTAAAGCATGTACTTATTTTTCTTTATTTGCAATTTTTTTAATAGTTCTTCTTCCAGCGTACTGAACAGCATTTATTAAATATAATCCTTATTTTAAATGTATCTTATGTTGCCATAAAAGCTAAAAGGAAAGAACTCTTATGGCTAAAATAATAATGAAGTCCACGTGATCTCACATACAAGCCTTCAGGTAGATGTTGATTCTTAGCAACTAGATAGGCAGGGGTTTTTTTTAGACTGATCTGTCCCCAACCTAGTTCTATGGAGTGAATTCATTTGGCACTGTAATTGAGTCCATCCATTTTGCTGATGGTCATCATTTTTTCCCTTTCTTCTTTTCCCAGCATTACTCAATAGACTTTTCTAGAAAGTTTGGTCTTCTCACAATGAGGCCAAAATACTATAATTTAGGCCTGCTCTTTCATGCCTTGAGATGGATTTGTTGTATAATCCATTTCTTTGTTCCCTAGCCATCTGTAGCATCTCAGGAATCTTAAGCAATACTCAAAAAACTGATATTCTTCCTTTCTTACTTCTTAAAAATCCAACTTGTCCTGGGGAAAACCATTTCTTGCATAATTCTGATTGTTGTAGGCATGAAACACATCACAGTATTAGAATATTTTTTCTAAGGCCTTAACTGCTTCTCTACTAAGTGCTAGTTTGCAACATATTTTTGACTGCTATTTATATTTACTTTTGTTAGGCAATCCCAATTAGCTATCCACCACTTCAGTAACTTCACTGTCAATTCTAAGGCTGGTTGATGTACCTGTTATCATAGTTTGCTCTTCTGCATATTTAATCTTTGTCTTCATCTTCAGAATAATTGAATTTCATTATTAGATACTGCACTACTTGCATTTTCAGTTAATTTAAATCTCACCAGATAAGTATATTGATGTTCCTTCCTCCAGCTTTAAACCACTCTGATCTTCAGATCCAGTTCCCCAAATCTTATAAAATTATAGCTGAAATTAAAACTATAAAACTGTTGTCTTTAAAATTAAAAACAGATTTAGAGATTTTTAATTTCTCAATTCAAAGTGACGAGAAACAATGTAACAGAATTTTTAACTAGAGCTGTCCACCTTCTGGTTTAACTTCTTGTGTGAACTCAGCTAATGTTAGTTTATTCAACAAATCATTGTTTAAAATATATGATCTATGATTCTCTCTCTCTCTCTCTCTCTCCCTCCCTCCCTGCCCCCCCTCTCTCTCTCTCACACACACACAGAGAGAGAGAGAGAGAGAGAGAGAATGAGAGAGAAAATGTCTTCTCTTCAAAGAAAATAGTGAATCTTCCATTCTCCATCTTATGCAGCCTCAGTCCTTCCAACTCTCCTGCTAGTTACACTTTTTAAAAATTGCATATTAATTGTATTCATAGAAATATTAAACGTGAGCCTCCATTACATATATTTCCAGCAGAAGGAAACCCCTGTACTTTATTTATATATGCATAATACCTTATTTCAAATTTTATACCACCTACTTCAAATATCCTAGAGATGATACCAATAAAGGAAAATATTTGTAGTTCAAAGTTGAAATAAGGAATCCTTGGTGGTCTCTGAGCTGGCTTGTTTTCCTGCAGACATTTCATTATCCAAACTAGGTAACATCATGACTAGAACTGATGATGTTACCTAGCTTGGATAATGAAACATCTGCAAGAAAACAAGCAAGCTCAGAGACCACCAAGGACCAGTGTAGAAATGCCCTGATGGTCTGGAACAGCCATCCTTTTTGACTGGATGCCACCAAATGGATGAGCTAGAGTTCCGCTAGTTATGCTTTAGGCAAAGCAAGACCAAAAACAGCTGTAACCTTTTAGAATGATGGGATGCTTCATGTTAAAATATACTTCTTACCTTCACTCACGTTGGCCAGAGAAGACAGAACAGCTGTTGTGGTAGCATCCAGCCATTCTTGTTAGTGTTTCTGTACGACTGAGACTTTATAAGAATAATTTATGTGAAATTCTGTTCTTTTTACCAGATTGTCATATTCTGTCATCTGGCTCAGTTGTCTCGACAGGAACTTGGCTAAAAATGAACTTTCCCACAATATCTTCTCCAGTGCCTTATAAGCAAAATACCTTTACTACTTACAGCTTTTTGCTACATGGTTTATGAAATATATTTACATAAAGCAGTCTGTCTATTTAGTGCAATATAAGCCCTATAAAAAAGGCTAAAATCCTGCTAGTGAAACCCAGTGGAATTAGAACAGAGAAACAATTGGTTTGGTTGATATTAAAGCAACAGAGGAAAATTAACTCTGTATGTCTAGAGAGGAAGAGACATAAACTTGTCAGAAATATGCAAGAGCTGGCAGAAGGGGAGTGAAACATTATTTAAATCAACAATAGTAAGGTAACATTTGGAAGTGGATCAGGCATATGCCACCCTTATTCATTGAAGTATAAGAAAACGGAGGGTTTACAACACAATCAGGTTTGCAAGATTAACCATTAGGTAGACCAACCCCCCAAAACCAACCCCATAGGAAAGCTAAAATTGCTTTTTGTGGAGATTGGCATGTGGAGATTGGTAATAGAACCTTGCAAGCCTGATTGTGTTGTATCTTTTGCCTAGGTAATAGTTCTTGCACATTTCTGTTAAAGTCATCTTCCTTATTCTTTAAAATATTTCCTGCAGATATCACATCTCTTTCTACTCAAGTTTCAGGGAAACCCTCTAATCCATGCACATTTTCTTATTTCGATGACTGTGTTATTTATAAAGGAGATGTATCTCTACCATTTCAGGAGAATATTCAAAAAACAGTTTAGTCTCAATAGCCCATCTTAAAAGTGATAAAAAAGTGCAATAATTTAATTCAAGTCCTTGTATTTCTATCAGCAGTTGTCAATCCATGACGATAATATAACTATTGGTTATATTATTTTAAGGTTATGAGCTGAACATTAATAATAAGTTGGAGGAAGTCTATGTGATGGGCATTATAAAAATATTTTAAGCAACAATTTTCAAATGTTGTCCATGTTCATACCTGCATGTAATATTAAAACAAAAATTTCAAATGAATTGTAGCACTAGGATGATTTTGTCATTCACAGTTTTTTTGCCTTTCTTTTTCATATGCACAGATTTTATTTTGACTTTATATAAATATATATCTATATTTAGATAAATCATTCATCCAAATGTTCACAAGAACTTCATAATGTGTGTGTGTGTGTGTGTGTGTGTGTGTGTGTGTGTGTGTGTGTGTGTACACACTTGGGACTGCCTCCAGACTTTACATCCTCATCTTCATTTTATTGTTCAGTGCAGATAAAAATAAAACATTTATTTTACTAAGGGGAAATGTAATAATGAATTGTATTCAATTTTTGTTGAAAATATAATTGCAGTTTTACTTTATTTTATAGACCAGACTAGAAGATTTTATAGACTAGACTAGAAGACCTCCTTTCAATTCTCTTATAAACACTAACATTTTATGCACTTTTTTTTCATTTAGATTTTCTTCGAAATAGCATTCCAGTTCAATGTGTCCCACCTCCTGGGAAATGCAACAATTCACTTTTCTGTTACAAGGTTGGTTCCTGTAATATCTACACACCGTTAGATTGAATTGGGGTCCATTCTCTTTATTTTGGATTCCTCCAGTGAATTTATGGAAGGTTTCCACTGAATCAAGATTGTACAAAAGGAAAATTAGCCTATACTTTATTGGAATATAAGACTAAATGGTGATATATACAAAGAATGAAATAAAATAGTAAATTTCATTGAATGATTAAAATGTAATAAAAGAATTAATGGCAATATAGTAAAATGATACCTAAAACAGTGGTAATGTAAGTGGTTAAAAGGATTAATAAAGGATAAATTTGAAACTAATCAAAGCTTAACCAATGGCAAATCTTATATTAATTCAAATCAGAAAAACTGAAAGGAGTTCCAACACTTGTAAGTCCCATTTATAGCGTAAGCATATTTAAGCATCCAAACTACTAAATCCTAAAACAAATTCATTATCTACTCCTTTAGTGGAAGGTTCAGTGTTCTTATGTGGTTTTCAGCTTTAGGGAGAATTAGGAAAACTTAATAAAGAAAGAAAATATAAAAGGGAAAAATGGTTTCTATCCCCTAAAGAAATTCAAAGGGTAGAATACTCTGTCCATTTATAGTGGAATAAAAGTTTAAAGGTTTTGAATTAAGTGGAAAAAATCCTGCCAGTATGTTGGTAGTGGTGCAATGGTTACAATGCAATATTGAAAACTAACTCTGCCCACAGCCAAGGGTTTGATCCTGGCTAATTCAAGGTTGACTCAGCCTTCCATCCTTCCAAGGTCAGTAAAATGAGGATCCAGATTGTTGAGGGAAAGTAAAAATGAAATAATTTTATAATGTAACAATAAGGCAAAATATTTTGATTGTTGAATATTTTGTTTGATGTTTTGAGTATAATAGCTTGTTGATTACAATAGATTGTGTTCTAAAGCAACTTTTAAAATATGTTTTGTTCTAGTGATAGTGATGAACTTGATGAGACTCTTGGAGACAACAGAGGAACTATTTCAATTCCAGTAAAATATGAAAGTGGATTAATATTTAAAAGGTATAACTAGATTTTATCTGTTTTTTTTTATACTGATCATCCAGGGTTTTTTTTTCTGTTCTATAGGTAGAAAATCCCCTCCTCCACAAAACAAGAGAGCACTGTTTCCTAACTTGCTTCTTAGTTCTCTTGACTCTGGATTATTAAGGGCTCTTAAATCAGACTGATGCTGAACCTCTGCCCATTGGTATCCTTCTGGAAGTGCACGTATTTTTTTATTCCCAATCCTGAATGTATATGGAATCCTTTAATGTAACCCAGAAACACACACACACACACACACACACACACACACACACAATTGTTTCTGATATTTCATGTCCAAAGCATGGTGTTAAAGTTGCCTTTTTTTTTTTTACACTTTGCTATTTTTCAGATTCTTTCATAGAAAAAAAGATAGAAGAATATTTACTGCAGTTAATGACCAGTCCATAAAATATCTTACATGTGTTATAATGATTAACTGATCATAAGTAAATAGAGCAACCATAATCATAAGTAAATAGAGTAACCACACTGTTCCACATCTTATATATGATAAAAATTGCATATTGTATTATCTGGCTTATTTCATCACTGAAAACATACTCAATTAATCGATGTTTTACCTCTATTACCGCTATTTAAAGAGAATGGAATTAGATTGTTGCATTTCACTAGTTGGTTTAAACTGGATTAACAATTTCATACTATATAAATTGGATGGGAAAAAATATGCATTCAGGAAAAAAATCTCAGGCTTATTAAATTCATTTTTTCTTGAACAAGAATAACACCATCATATTGTTTTGTTTCATTTCATTTTGTATGGATAACTGAAATGAGATATGTGACTACTTTGTGATTCTAAATCACTGAACATTATTTTATTTCTTTTTAAGAGAATCTAGTCCACATCATATCATCATTGCTGCAAATGATACAATACCTGCAGTCATTAATTCCACAGACAATATTGGAGAAGAAATTAATATAAACTACTTGGTAAGAGACAATGGCATTTTTCTGGTTGTGGACTTTAAAAAAATAACATTTATGTGCTGTATTTTTTTTAATCAGGAAAATTTTTACTATGCCAGTATGTAATATTTTCTATGAACTAGACAAAACTTTCTGCAAATGGAGCTTCAGGTCACCTTACTGATTTTTACTATCCTGTATTTTCCCTTGCGCATAACCAAAAATCTGCTGCAAAGGATACCCAGATATTCAGGATAGATTTGGAGTGGGTGTGTATTGCTACAGAGGGTAGAAACGAATTCACGCTTCTGATAGCAGCTCAGTGACTTCAGTGACAGCTACAATTCATCCATTCAACTATAAACATTTGCCAGTTATAGACAATTTACTGAAGAATAAATGCCTCATCTTTTCCCTGAACCCATATTGGCAAGGAATTAGTAAGAAGCATAAATATATTTACAACAAACAACAGACCAGAACAAGTCATTGTGTCAGTGTGATATAAAATGGCCATTGGAAATATACCACAGATCATTTTATTTACTTTAGTTTAGGAATATGTTTCAGTTTAATTTATAGATTTTCATTTCTAAGATAATGCTTAAATAATTATTTTCCTTGCATGCAAATTTGGTAAGGTGGAGATCTACTGCTATGTAATTAAATTGTACAGTATGTTATTTGTTTAGTAGTGACTGAAGCACCTGTTAGTAATAGGGAAAACATGTTTTAATTTTTATTTTAATTAGCTTTTCATTCATCTTTACAGATTGATAAAGGACAACATTTCTTACAGCCACAGCTTGCACTGCAAATCTCATTTCCAAAGAATGTTTCAAATGAAAATCAAATCCTTTACTTCACCAGGATATCATATTCAGAGGTAAATCAGCAGTATGTAAACTAACACTGCTCTGCAATTCAAAATTAGAGTTTGATTTCCACAACACGGGTCCTTGAATTAGTAACTGTTCCATGTGTTTCTTTGCATTGTTATTTATAATGGGAAAATTGACTCTACTTGTCTATCATAATAAATTGGATAAAATATGAAATGCTCTCTGGAATTATGTTCTAAAATAATATCTGATTTATCGAATGATATAATTTAAGTAAACCATTTGTCTAATTTCTATATAATCTAAATCCAAATAGATACATTATCTATATGGAAAACAGTGTGCCATGATACAAATCACTATTAGGAGCTTTTGGTTTCAAACATGGTTTATCACATCAAAGAGGCTTCTGCAAACTGGTTCCAGCCAACCTACTCTCGCTGCAAGAAAATAGATCTCCTGGTCCTACTGGTTGGGAATTATGGGTGCCATGTCTGGAATAACTGGAGATATAATCCAATATACCTGGTGGGTAGCAAGGAAGGAAGGAAAGGAATGGCGTTCCTGTGGATTTTACTCCACTAGTCATTGCCAACTAGAGTGGGTGGCAATTAACTTCAATTCATGAGCCAGCATTATCCAAAGACATTTCCATGGTCATGTGGCCAGCATGACATCACAGAGTGCTGTTATCTTCCCACCTAAGTGATACCTATTTATCTACTCATATTTACATGCTTTTGAACATGCAAAGTGAACAGGAGTAGGCAAAGATGGGCACTCACCCCGTTGCATGATGCTCAGGTCTTGAATGCTGAGGTCTTGGTCTCAAACCAAGTAAGGAGTTTTCCTATAATAGCTAGATATTGAATTTAGGAAATATGAATATAAACTCATTTGGACATTTGAGAGAGCCAAAAAAGATATAGTAATGAAGATGCCAACTTGGTACATTAGGAACCCAAATTAAATCCTGTTTTAAACATGGAGCTCACTAGATAATGGATTCAATCATTACCTTTCAGCCCAAACTACTTAACAGTAATAAAAATAAAGGACATCACTCATTGTGCACAAACTTCAACTCCAAGAAAATAAATTGTATGAATATAACAATAAATAACCATAATGTAAACAAAACTGAAATATTTCTGATATATTTTAATTTTGCCCAAGTGTTAAACTGTTTTAAAGTTACATATTATGCTCAATATATCCTTTTATATACTTTATATAAAACTTTCACATCAATTGCAAAATTAAATATCTATGCACTAGAAATTGTAATGTTAAAATAAAACAATAATTCTAAAGTAGCCCAAAACCGATAGCAGAGTTTAAGAATTTGTATACTCTGATCTGGAAGAATGAAGATAGAGGGAACTAGTGATTTGTTCTTCCCCACAGTTCTCAATTTTCAGAAGGTTGAGAGGCCTTTTGGCTTATTAGAAAAAGTGATTCTGAGAGTCACCCCTTTTCTAGCAAATAAACATTATTCTGGCCAGAAAATAGTCAGGTGATGTTATCTTTGGGGAAAGACTTGAAGTCCTCTGTTAAAATTATTGCAATATACAATTACAATTGTTCTTCTTGTAATAGAATGCAAAATGCCAATCCAGCCATCCAAGTGATTTGTTAAAGATTGATATGGGCAATCCATTCACAACATCAAGAATACAAGAACCTCTAAAGGATCCCAACATAGTATGTATACCCAATTTTATGGGGCATGTGGAATAGTTAATAATAGATTGTAGTGTACAATGTTAAGTTGCTGTTGAATTGTGATCATATGAATATAATCATATGTATATTTTTCTTTTGCTGAGAGCAATGAAATGCAATTATAATATTCTTATTGCTAGAAAAGTACTTGGAAATAATGTTTTTAAATCTACAACATGGACTTTTTAAATGTTTAGCTTTGGAAATTTGATTTTCACCATCTCTCCACATAAGGAGGTTAAAAAACAAATATCCATCAATGTCTATGATAGTATTTCAGTCACTCATCAATGAGAACAATTACACATCATGAAAATGTTGGTAATGCCTGTTAATAAGGCTGTCATGGCTAATGCAAGAGATTTGCACTGTCAGAAAAAATAATTCACTCTAGGAATTAAGAGTGCCCCTTCTTGGACCTGGAGATACTGTTCATGCCTTAGTCACCTCCCATGTGAATTTTTGCAAATTGCCCTTTCCATTCAGAAGCTACAAATGAATAGTGTAAACGGTGATGGACACATGTTCATATTACACCATTTTCCCATGAGTTGCAATGCTTCTGGGTTCAATGTAAGATGCTAGTTGTCACTTACAAAGTCCTTCATGTCAGATAACTTAGAGGAGTGTTTCTTGGTGGTGGTCCCAACAATGCTGGTATTTCATAAAGCGTTGAAGACTTGGATGTGTTCCAAAGCATTTGGGGGCTAGGGTTGGAAGGTTAAATCAGTGTTTCTCAACCTCAAAAACTTTAAGATTTGTTCAACTGTTCAACTG